CAAAACAAAGCCTTCAAGCTCGATTCACAAAAACACTCGATATAATTTTAATCTGCTAATGCAATTGTTGACAATTTTTCAACGTATACTCTTCATTTGATGGGAAAGGGTATTGTAGTTCATATTAGTTCATAGTTATGCCCGCAGAAAAAGCATCGAACGCCCGTTTTTAACGAAGCTTTGTTTTATTTACAAAAATAATCTATACACTGATAAAAAAAATTGCATATTGTATAGATACAAAGTGTAACCGCGTGATGTACACACATGGTCGTTAGGTATGTGTCAAGTAAGTGTTATTCAATCAGCTGCTCTTCAATTTAAATATTTAATACTTAATTTAATTTTTAATTTTAAAGTTACTTTCTGCTGAAAATTGTACAATAGAAAAAAATGTATATACCGAAATAAAATATGCATCATGCACTGATAAAAAAGTTGCACAGTTGAATATTTTCATACTAAATTTAATGTTCTTCTATTTCATATTCAAATGAAATATAAAAAATCGTCAATTTTCCTAAAAACATATTCAATTAGCGATTTTAATGCGAATAATAATCAAAACAAAGTGTACAACTTCGTTATTAAAGTGTGTCATATTCAATATATAATTATATTAAATTATAATATTTTTCTGAACTTGAATTTGAAATTTTTTGTAGTCGATTTAAATATACTAAAATTATATTAAATTTAAATTGACTAGAATTCTCAAGTCTGTTTTCAGCGGTTCTGTGGTATAAATACAAAGTGTAACCGCGTGACATACACATATGGTCGTTAGGTATGTGTCAAGTAAGTGTTATTCAATCAGCTGCTCCTTCAATTATAATATTAATATCGATCCAAACTATATCCGTACTAAAAGGAATAAATCTGCTAAAAATGGTTCTATCAAAAAAAAAAATATATATATAGAATTAAAGATGCATTATGGAAATTTCAATATTGAAAAAGAGTTAGAAAAAAACCAGTACAGTAGACAAAAAAGTGGAGAAAATATTTCATAATTGTAAAAAAAAAACCTTTCGCGTGAATCAAACCCACGTCTCCATATTGTGATTTAATATCTTTCATCATTTTAAATTTAATATTTTAATATTAAATTTTTAAATTTAAGTGTGCACACTTCATATTTACTAAAACACACGATGGTACAAAATCGATGGTAAAAATAGTTAAATCTACGTGTAAATATTGAAATTTCTGTGGTTTTTTTTATCAGTGCACAAATTCGTGAAACTGAAATGTTGTTTAAAATCTTGAGTTATAGTCCCTGATTTCTTCCATGCCCTAAAGAGTACACAACTTTAACTCAGCCGTAGGTAACTTTTTCGATATTCTTCATTTATTTTATGCTCTTCACAAAGAAAATGTGTTTTATGTGACCACATCAGCCACAGCTCATTTGTAGCCTCGAAAACCGCCAATTTGACAGTGCGGCTAAATACATGCACATAACGAAAAGTTCACCACAAAAACTCATATATACGTATATTTACTTATATTCGTACATACATGCTGTATATAGGCATCCGACATCATCATGAATGCAAAAACCATCGCTAAAACCAATGCATTTGTATTGTGAGCCGTTTGATTTTGTATGCAATTGATGGGCACAGTGCACAGCAGCAGACTAACAATACTCATACCTACTACCATACACACTGGCAGAGAGGGTAACAGTAGCATCATTTATTCGATGTCTGACATTTTGAGAGTCCTGTAAAACAAGGCGGCATAAAAATAAACCAGCCTTATCGCACTCTAATTCCGCTATATGTATAACCCCTAATGTATATATACATGACCCGAACCCCTCTCTAATTCTCAATCGTTTTTTGAGCGTTGCCGACGACGTAAATAAAAATTTATGCGCTCAAATGTATGCTACACACCACGCGCATAAAATGATTATGACGATTATGTAGCTGCTGATATTACAACAATATGAAGCGCCAGCAGCCGCATATCACACCACTCGGCCTCGCACAGCACAAACACATGCATGAACACCGTACACACACTCGCACTCGCACATTTATTGACACAAATTGCTTTTTCAAAACGTTGCCACACGCTGTTGGCATTTGCTGTGGCAGCCAGCTTGAGTGTGTGCCACTTTTCTTTTTATTAAAGCAATAATAAAATATTCATAAAGATTTCGTTTGCGCTACGACCACGACGACATTTTGCCAAACAGACATATTTTACAATAATGCCCATCAAAATTGGGTCTGACCCTGCACACATACACACATACTCGTACACAGGCAAAGATAAATACATAAGTGCTGCGTGGCGCATCCTTGCAACCCGTCAACGTCTAATGAGTTTTGATCGTGGTTTATTAGCCACACACACACACACACATGCACATGATCATGCTCATAGAAACCAGCATATGTATATGGTGCCCATTTTAAAATGCTCATCTTCAATAACTTCATCGACAGCTGCGCTCCGCCATCACGAGAATGCCACGGATTCAATATAAACAGCCAGCAGATGCCGTTGATGACATCAACATCGGGCACGGTGTCAGCGGCGCCTTCGTTTTCAAGGGCCATTGATGAACTGACTTTTATTGAAGGGTTGGGGTCGACTTTTGATTACGAATATGAAACATCCTTACACCACTTACACGCTCACAAGCCCTCACACACATTTTCAAGCATCATTATTGCGTGCGTAGGGAGTGAACTTAATGGTATGTTTCCAAAATTCATGGAGAAGGCGGGTGCGACGAAGGAACGCAAGTCAACTTTATATTAAGCTTAAATAAGCCATTTGGGCGGAGCACACACGAAATCAAATTTACAAAAACACGGTCATTCGACTAAAATAAATAAATAAAAATTTCAAAAATGGATCCATACAAAAATGTAAGATAACCTAGTAGCATCGTCTCCCATATCGGCAATGGTAGACTAGTACATTACTCTGCAACAACCAACTAGTGAATGAAAAAAGAACAAAGTACAACACTAAACAAATAACTTAAAAATTAAAGTCTCCCGTTTTATTGCATTCTCAATAATGACATGAATGAACGTACACTAAGTAAGTCTATAAATAGAAGATGCTAAGCCTAGCAGCTTGATTTACATCCTTGTATGAACTGATCTTTTCATGCGTTATATGTGTGAGTTCTGACATGACTTTGTCCGTTTACGACCTCTAACCAATTATAACACCAGTTTTGGGTATTGTTATACAAGTAGTTCCGAATTTCACACACTTTAACGCAGTGAAGCGATTCAATTTAGCCTGTATCCATAGAGTAGATTTAAGAAGCCCAACACTTTATTCCATCATTTGTTTCGTTATACTGCAATAAATTCTGAGAAAAATTCTAAACAAATTTGATATCCATTGTTAACTTAATTATATGTACTATACGTATGTATGTATATACACATGTATACTTTAAATCTAAGCAGACTACTTTAAAAACAAACGAATTTTTGTATGGATGATTGAGAGAAGGACTGAGCTCATAGTGACAAGAGTTGTTATACAAACTTCTACTTGTAGTCCGCGGCCAATACGTGGTTTTTATTCACCTGTCAGAAGGGCGGACGGAGGTTTTGACATTTCAATTTTAAGATGGGGTCTTCCATTCTGCCTTATAAGTGTTACAAATGTAAATATTTACATACATTTAACGTCGTAAGAGGCATTTGTTCAAGGATCTCCAATCAAGCGGCAGTTTTAATCGCAAGCAGATGAGATGATATTTATTTCTGATTCCAGAATTTTTCATGTTTGACAGGTTTATATCAATTCGGTTCATCGTGCTGATCATACCACGCCCTCTTAAACTTATTACACACTCGTACATTTGGCGTTTCGCCTTTCTTATACATATGCCATTTCAACCCTCAGACGAGGCTCAGGGAATAAAATAATATAGTAATTGTAATAATTGATTCTCTGTGATCAGTTATCCAAATTTCTAACACGTGCATGAGCAGTCATTAGTTTACGTGTAATTACCAACACTCAGGCGCTAAGATGTGCCAGCAATATTAGTGGGCAAAAGTTCAGCTATACTCGTATATTTATAGCAACAGCAACTGCAACAAATTGCAGCTATCAATATTTCCGATGTACTTGTCGCTGTGGCTGCATCTGATTCCTTAATGCATTTGCACATTTGTTCATAGCGGGAGGCAAAGTTGACGTGCGACAATCGTACCCTTTCCACCGAGCTGCACCAACGACCACACGGTGCCACAAACACCGGCCGATTTAGTATCTCGTCTGTCAGTTGCTGTGCTCGATTATTGCGGGTCCTGGGCTTGGTTTTAATTAGTGCAACCGAGTTATTCTCCTGCTCTCCAGCTGCAATCTAACGTACTATTTTCTATTGGCCAATTCACCACAGAAACTTCATCACCCAAAACTGTGTGCTTGTGTGTGTGTGTGTCTGTTTATGTGTGGGTCCTGCGTGTACTAGTATGTGCGACAGATTGCGAGTCATTAACTTGATGCAGCGACAGAAGCAATGCCACATGCCACACAAACGGCAGCAGGAATGGCCACACAACGCCCACAACCAGGGGCTTGTTGTCTTTGTTAGTGTTGTTGTAGCTGGGGCTGCTGCCACTGCTTCTGATGATGTGGATGTGGAAGTGTGCGGTTGCGATTGGCAAGCAACGGCAGTTAACCTTTGTTGGCGGTTTGCTTTTTGTGCGCCGGAAACTGCAGCAGAGGCAACTCAATCAGTTTTTGCGGTTTATGCCACAGCTAAAAAGGCACGGACGCTAATGGCTCTCAAATGGCGCTTGAATAATTGAAAGCCGGAAACAAGCAAAATGAAATGATTTGGCAGCTCTAAAGCACCTCCACTTATGCATTTCCATATGAGCATGTGTCTGAACATATACAGACGTACCAAAGTTGCACAGATTTACAAATCTGGAAACACTATATATAACATGCAACTATAATCTTTTGTTTATCAATCAAATGTTAATCAATATGCATGATTCCAAGGGACACCAATTTATTCTTTTAATAGTTACACATTAATTTAAACTAGAACCATCCTCAGCATCTACTTATAAATAAATATATATGTAGGCATATATATTTGAAGTTGCTGTTATATATCTATCTGTATTATAATAAAATTAATTTTGCTATTGCACATAAAAACCAAAAAGCCATTTTTTCTACAGATTGGCGGCTGCTTATTACTTAGATGTCTTCTTTTCCTGCTTGCCTTGCGCAGGCTTTTTTACATGTGACTGCTTTTCTTCCTCGAGTTTTAAACGCTTCCGCTCTTCATTAACGAGCTGATGCAACTCATCATACCACCCTAGGGCTTTACTCAGTTCCTCGACTCCAGAGTCGCAATCACCAAGATACGCCACATCCCGTGTGTTGTTCGGCTTATTATAGAGCAGTGAGCAATCATCAGGACCCATCCAGGGCACTAAACTAGCCTGCCCTACTGAGTCCCGATTGATAAGCAAACGTACGCAACGCGGTCCGGCCCGTTGCACCAGCGAAGCAAAAGGATGGACTTCTAGTGAGGTGCCCATTATGATAAGCAGATCACAATCCTTAAAGTCTGTCTCGGGGCAAGTGTAAAAATCAGCAGGCAAGCTTTCGCCGAAGAAAACAATATCTGGTTTCACGACGCCTTGGCACTGTTCACATGTTGGCAGCTGATCCGAGAAAATCTGTTCTTTCATCCAGGCCATGTCGTATGCCTTGCGGCACTTTGTACAATGGTTGGTGTAAAAGCTACCGTGCGCTTCGATGATCTTCTGCTCCGGCAAGCCAGTCAGCCTGTCTAGCGTATCAATGTTTTGCGTGTAATGCCGCAACAAGAGACCTTTATCGTGAAGCAGACGCACAAAATAGTGCGCTAGCGTCGGCACAAAGGAACCGGGATACAGCTCCTTGGCCAGCGCAAAGAAGGGCTTCGGGTTCTTTTCAAAGTAATCCAAGTCAAATATTGCCGTAGGATGTGGTAACTTGTATTTCTTTAGGTTATTATATAGCCCCGAACCGGGGGAACGAAAGTCAGGAATACCAGCCGCTGAAAAAATTAAACAAAAGTTATAACTATAAGTCGCGACAATTAAATGAGACATTACCACATAAATATGAGTACATATGTATGTATATGTAACGAAATTGTGGCTTACCCAGGCTGCATTACTTACAAGTGGATATGCCTGCGCCCACCATAGTAACTATTTTTTTAAAGCCGTGTTCACGCCAGTGCGATGTCAGTCCCTCAAACGTCAAATCTGGTATTACCTTATCAACTGGAACCCCATTCTCGCCTTTGGCCGAACTGCTTCCTCCAAATCCTAAGGTCTGCGTAAAAAATCTACGAATCATATCCATGGTTACATCTGGAATTGTAGACAGTATGTACATATAGTATGTATGTATGTAACATGAAATCAAAGGTTAGTTTGATTATCAGTTTATTGTATTTTACATTTTTTGTACAATGGTGAAAACTTATTAAAATAAATTAGAAAACTATTTACCTTCGCTCTCAGTACCGCTGGAACCAGTTGCTGCAGTCACTGTTGATGTCGATGGGACGGCATCCTTTTTTTCCTTTTCCTCCTCGTCGCTCGAATTGCGCTCGGGTGCGATATTTGCTTGCCTTTCCATGAGTGAAAGGCTACTATATCTCAGTGGATTAGTATATAACTTACGTATGCAAATACGGCTAGCCGTCTTAAGTTTGTTTATTTACGATTTAGCTGTACAAAATCAGCTTTCCACAACAGTGTTGAAAAACGGCGCCAAGCATGCTTGTACAGTGTCGTATAAATAATCGATATATGCGTCGATAACTTGTGACCACCTAGCTTGCAACGCTGCACTGACCACAGCCCTGGAAAAACCACGCCAAAGAAGTGTCATTTTTGTTTTGATAAGTTGACAGTTGAGCAGCTGGTTTGTTTTCTTTCCTGAAAATTTTCAGGATACAAGAGCGTGGCTTTGGATTATCGTGCAGAAGTCTCTCACAAAAAGCGGTGCAAAAGTTTTATGAGGGCGTGCAAAGTGCGGGGAATGTTGTGCCGTTTAAAGTGTGCGTTGAATTAAGCAGATATCGCATACGTGGAAGAAACGTGCAAGCCCCTGAAACAAGCCACTGGCGTAGCCGCCGCCAAAGCAGAAGCAGCAGACAGCTAAAATAACAAAACGACGGTGTGTGTGTGTGTGTGTGCATGTGTGGTGTTTGTGCAAATGGCTGAAAAATTTTGTGTTTTTTGTATTTAACTCTTGCGTCCTTCATGTGCAGACAATAAATAAAGTGGTGACGATTTTCTCAAAATACCTCAAGGGGCAGAACTCAACGTTACGCCAAAACTAAATAAAAGATGCATCTGAATCATGCAACCGCGGCATCGGCAGCGATGGCCAACTATCAGCACTATGCGCCGGCACAGCTTGCCACGCACGGTGGTGGTGGCGGAGGAGGTGGTGGCGGTGGAGGTGGCGGCACAAATAGCCTACAGCAGCCCACAACCATTGCTGGGCTGCAGCAGAGTCCGTTTGCATTGCACCAACTGACCGCAGTGCAGGCTATTCAACATCCCACCCATCAAGCCATGCTGCATCCGCAGCATCCTTTGGTGCACCTGCTTGACATCTCGACAACTACAACAAATAGCGCGGGTAACCACACCCCCATATCGCCTATGAAGCAGGAGGTGCAGAGCGTTATCAGCGAAGATGAGGCCGTTGTCGATGATCCGCGGAAGAAGAAACAGTGCCACGTGTGCAAGAACAAGTTCCGCCAGCTGACCACATTACGCAACCACATGAAAATACATACCGACGAACGGCCGTACAAATGCAAACATTGTGACAAGGCCTTCCGCCAGATTTCTACGCTGACCAATCACGTAAAGATCCACACTGGTGAAAAGCCGTTCACTTGCAACATCTGCGCGAAGGACTTCCGCCAGCAGAGCACATTGATTAATCACATCAAGACGCATAAGGGTAAGTTTTGGAAATACATGTAGTAAGCGATAAAAATTAATCCAACCTTTCACATAGCGGCAGAGTCAAGCACGCCCACGTCGCTGCTGAACTACCAGCCCCAGCCCACTGGTACGGGCAAGCACAATCGCAAGTCTCAGAACCAGATGCACAATGCCTATCAGCAGCAGCATCAGCAGCGTGTACAAATCTCAAAGACTCTCTATTCGGGTAGTTACAGCTCGCCACAGGCCGAGGAACTAGTAAAACCGTACCAGTGCAATGTGTGCAAGAGGCGATTCCCCCAGCTGAGCACGTTGCACAATCATGAGCGGACGCACATCGATCCCAAGCCGTATAAGTGCGAAACGTGTGACAAATCCTTCAGCCAGTTGGCCACGCTGGCCAATCACAAAAAGATACACACCGGTGACAAACCATACACGTGTTCCTACTGCCACATGCAGTTCCGCCAGCAAAGCACGCTCACCAACCACATGAAGACGCATACGCATCTCGCCCAGCCAGCCACAGCCACAGGTGAGCCGCTTGTGTGTTCGCCCTACAACTGAAGCGCTTCTTGTTATCACTGTGTGCATTGACCATTAATGCTCTTCCCTAACGAAGCTTTTATTTAAATCTTGTACGCATGCAAACCAATCAATTCTACATCAACAACAACAACACCTTGCACATGCAGTGGATCACTCAATGCCAGCGCCCGCTGCTCCAGGCGGCGGTCTGTTGCCCAACAACCTGCACAGCACAACACCTAACATCATCCAGCTGGACCATCATCCCCTGCTGCACTTCCTCGATGGAACCACCACGGTCAGCTCGGTTGTGGCAACCAATTCGGCGGCAGCCGCGATCAACACAAAGAACGAACACTACCAGGCAGCCGCGCAGGCACCGCGCATGAATGTCGGCAACATCAACATGCTGAAGGGCGATAACCCGGATCGTCCATTTGGGTGCAGTGTCTGTCGGCGCTTCTTCTCACAGCAGAGCACACTCGTCAATCACATCAAGACGCACACTGGCGAGAAGCCCTACAAGTGTAAAATCTGCGAGGTAAATTTTCGGCAGGTGGCTACGCTTAACAACCACATGAAGATACACACCGGGGAAAAGCCCTATAACTGTTCCTACTGCCCGAAACAGTTCCGGCAGAAGAGCACATTGCAGAATCATCTGCGTGTGCACACTTGCTAGGCGATCCATCAAGCCAATACGCCACACAACCAGCCATCAAGGAATAGTGCAATATGCGTAGCTATTCACCGACACCCTCACAGACACCCAGACACTTATATGCTATACAAATACTATATCTAATTACTATATACTCAAACATGTTATTTACCTGCTGTGCAGAGCGCAATTGTAACTATAGTAGAGCTGATCCACATGCGTGTCCAACTGTAAAATAAGGTTAGGCGTACATATACGAGTATACACATAATACAGGGTGTTAAAAACCTATATTACTACTACCGACCCCCTACTAATTAGCTTCACTGTTGTCACTAAGTAGTCCCCTCTCCCCAATTCAGTTGCAATCCCGAGATTTTGCTTCTCAGCGTCGTCGTGTTAAATGTTAAGCGGAACGTAAAACTAGTTATTGCTATACTGTGTAATCCCCGCGTACGTTCGGCGTATGCTTCTTTAATTGTAAGACGTAATCAGAAACTATTTATATAAGTGTACTCTTAGCGCATATTTAGCAGCATCTTCTACTCACATGACTAAAGCGAAACGATTGCGATGGAGATCGTAGAATCGGGTTAGAACAAAAGGTAACATCAGACAGACGAATGTCCCTACATTAAGAAAACAAAAATAAGTAAAAAGTAAATTGCAAATGACCGTAAACGTTGTAGAGAATATATATATTAACTACATATTTGTAAATGTAAGCCAAGCGAAAAGCAAAAACAATAAATGCAAAATAAAAACAATAACAAATTGTAAAAGCGTCATTCGTGAAACACACCTTGTTGATAGTATTCCTACTTTCAATACACACAGTATTCTTCTATACCTTTCAAGAAACCGATAAGAACAATCTAGCCTAGTTTTTCTAGTCACACAATTAAAAAATTATGGAGAACATAGTTACTTCTGTACCACATATACTATATGTATGGATGTATGTGCTTTTATAGTCACATCACTCTGCTTTAAAAACTGATGCGTATTATCGCAAATCTCTGAAAATTCTAAATTGAGGTGTTATTTTGTAACCTTACCTTGTCATGATGATGATTTGCCAATGTCTTTCAAAAGCGATTTTCGAAACCAGTTCGTCACTTCATTCAATTATTTTCACAGAAAATTTGCATCTCGAGGTTGGGTAACTCAGACGTGTCAGCGTCAAATATATAGGAAACATCCAGTACTAGGTGATATTTAGTTGTTGCTGAGGTATTTTAGTACGAGACCTTCCGTTTCGACATAGAGGCGTATGTCTGATTCTTTGTAGTTGGTATATGAATTCTTAGATCATAACAGCAGCAAACTTACGTTAATCACTCAAGAAATTAAAAACTTTCGCTTCTATCAATTAAGATAGTAAATGGAAAAAAATGCATAAATTTTTATTTCAAGACGAATATTAAAAGTTGTTTAACATACACAATTTCAAGATTGAGTTGTAAGACTATTGTATATATAAATACTACATTTATTATAAGCACTTTTGAATTAGATGTCTAGGTGTGTACTATTTGTGTGTGCGCCTAATTGTTTAGAAATATTTCAATTAGCTGGTCGCACGTTGTTCTTCAGCAGAAAGCCTCAAAAGAAATAATATCGTCTAGATCCTAACTTAAAAAATAACATATTTTAGAGTCAGTGACATGGAATTATAACGAAATATGTTGCTATTGGTTATCAATTTTTATGTATTAGCTACGCTTAACGTACATGAAAAAAGGACATTGCACTTGGACGTCGAGAAGGAAACTCGAATTACGCTTAAGACTTAGTTCGTTTATATTGAAACGTGTTTGGGAAAGCAAGGTAAGGAAATCATAAACAAATCAAGCGTCTAAATAAAGGACATAGTTGAGTACAAACTACACGCTTAAAATGTTGCCAAGGCTTTGTTAAGCGTGTGGTGGGGAAGAGAGCTCTTTGGCAGCGTGCACAGGCATTTTAAATATAGTAGAACAAAGTACAATACATTGTACAATAGAGTATGTATATAATCTATATATAGTTCAAAAGTTTTCTTAAAAGTATACAAATAATCCGAAAACGAGACTTCCACCTGCTCTACTTGAACAGCCAGCGCAGTATGAGACTAAAAACCAGTCCGACCAGCGCATATATGATGGATTTTATGACAATCGATTGCGAGACACCGCCGCCCAAAAGCTGATGTGATGATTGCGACGGAGACCGAACTGAGCTATAAGACCCGCTGTACGGTGGAGCATATTGCATGCGTTCCAGTCGCAGGCTAATGTCTTGGAGCTGCCTCGTTTGCTTCTCTAGCGCAACGTTTACCTGCTCAACTGCCAGAGCGAGTCTGAAAAATTTTGGATGGAGGAGTAATATTAGAATTGGGTCGTCTAGTTCCATCAAACATCAGCTGTCTTTTGGTAACCAAATGACTTGTACTTGATGTGTTCTAAACTTTACTGAATTATTTATTTTCAGATTAAAGCCAGGATCTTTGAACTAGTTGAACAGAAATCGAATCTGTTCTACCTAAATTAGAATACGTACTGTTTAATGGCGCTGTTCGTTGAACCCCGCTTCACGGCACTTTGCGGCGACTGACTTGAGTCCGAGTTCGTCTCGCGCTGGCCCAGCACCAGACTTTTATTCTTTGCCTTTGGGGCCGTACTTCCGATTACTGATTGTCCTCGCTGGCGCACTACAGGTTCTTGAATTGACGTGCGAATCGCATGAATAACCTCGCCCCCGTGCACAATTGGCACGGACTTATGGCGGGTCTCAGTCAACACCTTGTAGTCGCACTCGTACTGCTTAACATCGTTACGTGAATCCCAAGGCCGGAGATCGGCGTATTTGTACAGCCACTGGCCATAGCTATCCTGTTCGAATAGCTCCGGCACCCAAGTGGCATCAATACTGGCACGCTCTTTGGCCGCTTGTCGCTGCATCTCCTCCAGCACAGTTTTCTCCTCGGTGGCCGCCACCTGGTCCTCACGCTCAATAGCCTCCGACACAAGGCGCCACAAGCGCTGGGATTCCGTTGGCAATTGCGCTTCTAACGGAACCACGTAGCGCGTTAGTCGACGAGCCCTCATTTCGGCATCTGCCTTAAACAGAAGCGATTCCTCCCCTGTCTTAACCTCCTTGATGCGACACTCCTTGTCCCAGTGGCCCTGAATGGTAGCCAGTGTCTCCTTGCCCAATTTAATCTTCCCCACTACAACGTTGGTGGAGTCTGCCCCGCCGAGAAATGGTTTCAGCTTGAATTCAAGTTCCGTCTTGTAACCGGTGTTCTCGCATTCAATGTTGATTTTGCCACCTAGCTCCATTGAAAGAGTACCCATCAGAATGCCCTTGCAGTGGGCATAAGGCGTGGTTGCTGTATAACATTCGCCGCGTGGCAGTAGCGTCATCGTGGCCGCGCCCTCAAGCACAGCCGACGTGCTATTGCCATAGAACTTCGATTTAGCCAAGATGGAACAGGTGATGCTGAACCCATCCTCGCGGTTTGTAACGTAAAAGGCCGATATGGGCGGATGATGTGAAACCTGCTCGGCTATGTAGTAGGTGCGACTGCCATTTGGGTGCTCCCAATAGCAGCGAAACGTCTCGCCCAGTATGGGATTGTAGGGCTTCTTAAGGCCTTTCGGCTTCTTGTAGAAGCTGGACAGGTACCATTGTACAACATATTTCATGCGCGTATAGGCGTCATCCTCATGAACGGCTCTGAAAATTAATTAAGTTATCGATTACACACAGTAGAAGCACTATAATAAAATAATCAGATTGTTTCGAAAAAAAAACTATAATGGAAATGGTCCCGTCTAAAATAGCAAAAAAAAAAAAAACAAGAGAACGCTACAGTCGAGCAAGCGCGACAGTGAAATACCCTGTACCCAGGTAATTAAAAAAAAAATAAACTCGTCCTTTCTCGGACCTAGGAGAATCTGGATACCAACTTTCGTTATTCAACCTTTTATAGTTTCTGAGATCCTTGCGTTCATCCAGACAGACGGACGGGCATGTCTAGATCGATTTCTCTCGTCCTGCAAAAACCTACCCTTTTTACCCTATGGGTACAGGGTATACAAAGCTGCAATAATTTGGTTAGAAGTTTGACACGTACTTGGACAATATATCAGCGTGATAATATGAGTCCGACAGCTTGTCCAGAAATGATCGCGGCTCTAATATGAAGGTGGGCAGTACCACCTTGCTTAGATCCATACCTGGACGCACTTGCTTAACAATGCACCAGATAAGGCTCTTGTTTTCATCGGCGAGCTCTTCCACCTGTTCGCCTTGCTGCAGAAGTTTTATAAAGAGGAGTAATCCTGATCCTGTCTGCATATTAAACATTCTTTTAACATACTTCACCAAACTCCTCCTCAATGAAGGGCTCATACAGAGTTTCTTTGCACGGCACCAGCTCATTTTGTGCTACCTCCGGCGCATCCGACTCCGTTTCAGACTCCAGTCCGGACATAGTTGCGTTGGCGGCCTCATTTTGACTGTCTGCATCCAAATCTGCACGCAAATGAGAATAGAAAACACATAATAGTTAGATTAGTCGGCCACTCTTCGTGGCTTATGTGAGGGAGTATGTGCACTGACGTTTATCTAGCCCCCGTAGTCTACGAAACAGAAAAACGTCAATGGCCACCTGTTTCATAGAGTCATATGCAGCACAAGACAACGGGTCTACAGGTGCAAAGTTCACCATGGATGAGACATTGATCGATTGCCTGACGGGGTGGGCTTTGAACTTTTTGAACCTAGCCAAGCGCTGGAAAGGCTTTGAAATACAGCAAAGGAATTTTGAACAGTGAGCGCGGAGCTTACTCTGATGTGCACCAGGTGTAATGACAGTCTAGCTAACTAATATGCAACAACAACATCATTATCAACAACAAAATAAGAACGCTTTGGGATCAAGCCCTGCATGCAAACCCTTTACGTTGACACGAAATGTTGGACGAACGAGACAATCAGGCGGTGCGCTGATTGGCCGGCCAACCCCGATGGGCGCACAGATGATGCTATCGTTCTCATCCTCATCATCACTTGATGTGCTGCCCCGTAGGACGGCGCCCAGCGACATGGACTTGGTAATAGGACCCAGACGGCGTCGCTTCAGCTGTAACGACTTCGACTGCGAGTAGTCGACGCTGGAAGAAGCATCGCTAAGCATGGCCTCCCCAAAGGATGTCTTGCGCTCCTGCTGGGGAACTTTGCTGCGCAGCTTGGGAAAGTTTTTTGTGCGCTCCCAGTTGTTAACGGCGCTGCTGTATATTTGCTGCAGCAGTGGAGTTGGAGCACGCGATGTGATCAAACTATTTTCGGAGCGCGAGGTTTCCGTATCGGGAAGCGCCAGATAACGCGCTTGGTGACGCTGCAGCTCTCCAAGTAGCAGCTCTGGCCGGCGAGTTCGGTTGAGTTAGGAGTTAACAAATATTTCGCACTTAAGGACCCACTTACCATACCCCTAAACTTACCATGATCATTAAAATGTTTCTCATAATCCGCTTCCGACCACTGAGTCTCGTGAGATACTGGTAAGGGATCGCTGGTGTAAGTGCTGCTAGCTGCGCCGGTGGTGTTGCTATTTGACCGAAGCAGTAGCGCAGAGCAGCGCAATGAGAGTTCCAGTGCATCCATCCAACATTTACCAGCCGCCTGACTGGGTGCACGAAAGATCAGGTAAGCGGTTGGTAAGGGTTGAACAACTGCGCCTGCAGAGAAATCCTAGTTATATTTCATAAATTGCATGTTCAGCACGGTTGCTGCTTAGTGCTTTCATTAAGATACTAATGCCTAATCACTAGTATGGTTATGAATTAAAATTCTTAAATAGATAAACCTAGAAGGACCAACATATTTGTTTAGTACTTTTTCTGTCATTCCTGTCGACCAGTTTTTCTTACTTCATACAAAAATCTGAAATATAACCAAAACAAGCAACCATGCTGTTCTCAGTGATGTTTTCACTTGCCAATGGTCTCCTTGTCGGGACCACGGGGTGCCCATATGGACTGTTCCAGTGGATGGAACAGCTTGAAGCAGAATCCATCTTTTTTGCTCGGTCTCTCAATAACTTGACAAGAGGTTAGCATAACCGTTCCCACCCAGTGACTGCTCTTCGTCTTCTGGCTCTTGTATATGAGCAGCAGGCCGGGTTTCAGTACGCACCAGAGCTTCGTCCAGGACTTCAGAGTGCCGCGTACCTGTAAAATGTGTAAGATCTCTTACATAAGCATTTGGTCCCAACTGCAAGTAAACTCACTTTTAGCCAATCGGCGAGCACTATGACCGCCGGATCCTGCAGGGAGTTCATCAGCTCGCTGGCCACGCGCTTTTTCTCGCGTCTGTAGTTCTTGCGTTGAGCTTTGTAGGACTCTTTTCGATTAAGTTTTGAAACATCTGAGGGTGACTATTGGTAGTAGCAGAAAATGGAGGCAAGTTACATAAGCAGTAATGAAAATAACGAATAGTTCGGGTACACCTTTGGCCCACATATCGAATTTATAAACTGTCTCAAAAAATGCATGACTCCTCTTCCTAGTGTCTGTCTACGTTCGTTTCTGTTGATGTCTCACGCCCTACTTGCCCAACAGTTGGCGTGCCATTTATAACAGAAATCAAAACCGCACCGTTAATCTAATTAGCGTTTATAATTTTTGGACTGTAAAAAAAAAAAATGAAATGTCACACGGTTTGGGCTAGTTCATATACAAATGTAGTTATTTATGTTCCCAAACTATACATATACATGTTCACGTATATAAACATATAGTTGTGTGGACAATGATACGCTCTTACATCGATTTTAACTAAAGCTGTAGAGCATTAGGCGCCCTTATCAGCGCAGCTGGGTAAGTATCTTCAATCAATTTCCTGGCAAATGTCATCTTGACCCACTTAGGTAGCGCACATTTTTATACAGTACCATGTCGTTAATGTGAACTCAATTTGCCTTAAAAACCGTACACTGCGTTTGGGTACCGCTTTCTATTGAAGCAATTTTGGTTATATTTGTTCTCTTCAAATCATCTTCTGGTAAGTCCAAGAAATAATAAAGTAATTGTAAAAATACATTCCATTTCAAAAGTAAAAGTCCGCTGCTTGAGCTAAAACAGTCGAGCGACTTCCTGATTGATGATCAGTTCTCATGTATGCGGAAGGGGATATTTTCGCTTTAAATTTGTTAAAAAAATTGTTATGCTATCCAAGAGGACATACTGTTTAGAACCCCCATTTGAGTAGTGATAGTAATCACGAAAACAAACCAGCCCACAACTATATTCGTTTTGGTATCTGTGTTTGGGACTTGCCTTATCAGCCAGATTGCCATCGCGACTATCGGTGGCCCAGTGTGCGATTCCTGCAAAATGGAAATTAGTAATTAGTTATTATATTGTTTCGTACGTACTTTTGCGCTAATGGATGGGTAACTATAGCTACTAACTAGAATACATTAGCAACCTTATTCAGAGAACACGCTGGCCAGGTCAAACGTTTGGCTAATGTTTTCACTTGCTCAGCTAGTTGTATTTAGGATCAAGAGCTACGAGCTAGGGCAGGGAGAAAATTAAATTCAAATCTAACATCAGCGAGCATTTAACAACTTCTCAAGGTGCACGACATGAGCAGCACAGCTTCTTAAATATTTTATGTCTTAGTTTATATCGCCAGATAATAAACGCATAGCTCATACACACACACGCACACACTCTCTCATACGTTGAGAATATCTTTGTAGCTCTCACACTCTTTTCGCTTGCACTGCAATCATTGCGCGTTTATTGTTTTCGTTGCCCGAAAAATAAGCGAAAAATACAACATTAATGAATTTCTCAACATGCTCGATTTGGCGCCAACGACTAGCGCGGCATAAATATAAATTAAAAATAAATAAAATGTTTGTTGCTCGCGCTTGGGGGCGATGCCTGGCCAATGCCAGTCCCAGTCCCACTGGCTACACATTGAAAACACTTGCTTTGTAGAAGATTCATGCCGCCGATTCTTCGGCCACTCGAACTTTCAATTTCAATACTGTATGTATGTATTGTGCTGAGCTCAGAGCTCAGAAATGTGTCGTTGCGGTTTCCAATTGTCTCTGCATATTCTATTTGCTTTTTTATTTTGTTATTTGTTTTCTTTTTGTTCGCGCTGCGCTACATTGCGTATGCGTTATACGATCTACACATACGCGCCCGAGTAGTTGCAATGTCTGGCTGCGTGTTGGATGCCGTCCGCTGGCTCTCGCAGACTGATTGAGATATATTGAATGAGGCGGAGGCGCGCACACCAAAAAAAAAAACAAAATACTATACAATGCCAGAGCAGCAGCGACGCCAACAACGCCAACTGAAAGCGTCTAAAGCTGGGCCGGTGAGCGCGTCATCGTCATCGTGAACGTCGACGTCGACCCGCCACCCAGTATGTACATACATACATATCTACATATGTACATACTTATGTATGTATAGTAGTAGTGATGTGTACAGCAACAAACTCGTATAAATATGCTCTCGTACACTACTCGCTCGCAAATTTCAAAAATACTTTGTAAAACCTTCGTTGCTAGTCAAAAATATTTTAATGGGTACTGAGAGAAAAACAAAACGAAGAGCATCGAAGCAGAGTGCACAGATTTGTTGGGCTATATGTGTATGTATGCCGGCACTATCATTATAGCTACAGCTTTGTCGCTCCCCAGATATGATAACAGTCCGACGTCGCGAGACGTCGTCGACAGCTCTTCAACTCTTTGGAATGGTGTTCGCTCAGGCATTGCGACCTTATCAGCATGCTCTGCTCAAATAGATACAAGTCAACAGTAGGCTACAGTGCACGAAATAACTATGCAGATATGTATGCCTTATGGTAATTATGCTATCCAGTACACAAGTGATAGATTTCTGTAAAGCTGGCTGAGTTCCCCTAAAGCATATTACAGATCTTTCTGTCAAGTATAATGAGTCTTTATTTTCTAATACATACATATTTGTTTAATTTGATTCGCACATTCCTAACCTTATTCATCTTAATTTCTTGGGATTATGCAAATTACATTTATGGTATATTTTCAATATCTTTGAACCACCGCATTTATTTCTTTCAAACATTATTAAAAAGTAATAACTTTTTTACATCTCAAGCTGAGCTCAATCCAGAGGCACGAATATCTCACGAATAGAACTTATTATTATTTTATATTCAGTTGTTTCCAGACATTAGTAAGGCATTGTAAAACAAAAGAAGAACTGGGTTGCTTCTGCCCTGCTGTAAATAAAATTTAATTTGCGATTAGCAGCCTCTCTCCTTTTAAATGAACCACCAGCGATAGGTATTTTTTGGCCCATTATAAAATGTTTCAGGTAACATTGTCGCGCACTGTACTTGTGTTTTGACTGCTATATGTGTGAGCAATATCGGGGCGGACGCTAATATCGTATAACGAAATATCGTATGCAACTCGTGCTCGTAATAATACAATTCGTTGGCGCTAGTACGCGTGTTGGCCATGAAAGGAGTGCGAGTGGGTGAAGCATTTATTCAGGTGTTTGTCAAAGATTGGAATATACTGTACAAAACTGTCTATGCCTAATGGGTTCTGAACAGGTGTGCGGATATATTAGTCACCTGTAAGTCCCGCAACAGGCAAAGGGCAGGTGAGTGATTCAGCTGCCGAATGGCACAGCAACAACTTAGTCCTCTTATCAGTCGTCTAGTTCTGCATACGCACAATTATATTTATCGAGCAAAGTGCCAAGTGTCATTAATTAGGCCTTGTGTTATCAACGGTCGATATTTCAAAGGTCTTCGCGCTGTGTGTGGGTGTTGTATAAGAAGTATTTAACGATAAGATATGAGATTTGCCGGGCCAGGGCAAGATATACCCATATATATTTTTATCCATGACTGCGACTGATTTCAATTAAAAGCAGCCCCGTCGTATTGAAAAAACCCAAACAATAGCAAACAAAAACAAACAGCCCCACATGAAAGCAAATTAAACAAAATGGTAGCAAAGTGCGTCACTTCAAGCGCTAGGGCTGGATAAGGCTTCCTGGCTAGATACCTATACACATGTGTGGTGCATACAAATGGGCGTTTTAGCCAAGAGAAGCTGCAACCAGTCTGATCGCTTACGGTGTACCCACAAAAGCTAAATGTATGGCTCCCAATCTTGCGATGATGTCAATGGAAACGAACTGCGTGCAAATTGTTGAAAATTTTGAGAATTGCGTGATGATCTGTGCAGAGTTATGAGACTTCACCTGGAGATGATGGCGCTGGGCTGTTGCTCAAACTATCCGTGGAGGGTAGTTTCGTTAGAAGAACTTTCAGCGAGGGTCGTCGTTTGAATTTGAAATCGAATACTGCTGACAACGTACATATGTAGTTAGCAGTGAGCAGCATACATAGAATGAGATTCAAGAAATATAATATATATATGTAGAGAGATAGAGAGAGAAAGAGGAAGAGAGCGAGCAATATTGTTTATATGGTGATCAATAATTTATTCATATCAGTTCTAAAATGCTACAAATTCTACACACGGACACACACACGCATAGATTACAAATTCACGACAATGACACGTTTTTCAACTGAAACTGTACACTGAGTGCGTCAAAAATAAAGACATAAGACAGAAGGTAGTGTTTAAGAATAAGTTAAACAAGTAAAGTAATTGTTCCCAAGTAGTGCCTCCTACACAATGATACTGACCATAAGTTAAACGCTGTTGACCAAACACTCCCAACTTTTAACAATGTGTCTATTATTCCGCTGACATCGGCTAGACATTCGATGTGTACGTGTACATATAGTATATGTTAGGCGCCAAGGAGCACCCTGCTGCTGCATGTGGTGGCACGGCAGGGTAGGGCACGGCAGGCTGTAATTAAGATGGCGATAGGATACGATGCCACCACGATGCATTGATTGGCTTCGAATAAAGTGCTCTGGGCAATCAATTACGCAATTAGAGCACGCCCTACACCCATACAGAACCCGGCGGACAGGTTATTGCGACAGGGGTGCGGTGAAAGGTTCAAAGTTCAGCGACGACGGCAGGGGTTCTATGTATGCATGTACACATGTATCTGCTGTTAGTCTGTAGGCACGTTTTGCAAGGCTTCAAAACATCAACAAAACCAACAACAATACCGACAAGCTGCCACAAAAACTGGACTGCTGATTGGACGACGAGGCGCCAATGAAAATCGATTAAAAGGCAACTGTAGAGACCAGCCGGCAAAGTGTGAAACTGACATGGAAATGCACTTGCACTTTCAACTGGGAAGTTGCCCTGCACCGAAGAGCAGCAACGCAGATTACGTCACGACAACAACCAAAAATGGTGCCACGTTATATGGCGCAATACAGGACGGGCAGGGGGTGTCCGCCATATGTTTTATATAATCCAATTACATTTTAGGTTCTTGCTGTGGCGCTGTGGGTGTGTGGGTGTGCTGACCGGTTTACTGAAAATATACTATACTGCACTGTTTAAATGGAAAATTGCTTGATATTTCCGTCTGAGCAATATTTAAAACACACTAAAATTGGGGAAATGTTATATTCATTGATTTCTTCATTTGCATTTCTGCTGCTAAATAGACATATGTATTTATATATGCACATGTGCCAGCAATGCACTGACTAACTCTATTTAGGTAGAGTATGAATTAAGTTTTACAGTTCAAGCACCGGACGGCACCAAATTTATTGCATGGCTAGCTTGTCTGGAAGCTATGAAATATTCAAAGATGGTAAAAGCAATTCGAACAACTGGTACATAAATAAGTTACGAGCTTGATATGAACCTCGTTATTGACGACATGCCTCGATATGCAAATAGAAGCAATTAGTAAGCGACGGCCGAAACGCGTTTCGTAGAGTAGTGGTGGCAAAAGGATCCGCACTGCATTTCCCACAAAAATGCATAGCAAGAGGGAAGAAAACACCTTACGCCGAAACATGAAGTGTGAGACAGCAGCAATTCATTGATTTTTTTTCTGTGCATATACATATATTCATATCTATGTTTGTATGTACAGCTGTGCCACTAACATTCCCTTATGTTAGACAGCGACAGGTGTGCGCTTTTCTTCACTGCACCTTGTCGCGATTCTGCGACGGACATGGCCAAAAGTTTGCTTTCGCCGCTAATCGCACGAACCTTTGATAAATAAACAAAACAGCCAGCAATAAAATCAGCCTTTTGTCAATGTCATGTCATACAGTAAATAAATATTGTTCTATGAACCATATAGTAGATACATATGTACATATGCATGTTCTCGTACATACAGTCTAAAAGGTGTGCGTGTTTATTGGTAGCCAAAGTGCAAATTTTGTTTGACATTGATTGGTTGCTGAAGCGTCACAAAATACTACTACTTATACACTGAAAAATAATAATATACATTTCAATTGGGTGGGGAATAAATAAATCCTTTTTACGCCATTTAACTTTATTTAACTATATCGACTCGGCTTGTCATGCTGATCAAGAATATATATACTTTGTGGGGTCTACCAAGCCTCCTTCTGTGTGTTCCATGTGCACTCGCACAAAACTAATATACCCTTGTACCCTTTGGGTACAGGGTATACAAATTTACCACAAAACATGTTTAATTTTAATTTTATTATATTAACGATTTTCTATAACTCCCGTATCTTGGAATTTTTATCATAGCATAAGGCACGATTCTGATGTAAATGTAAATGTATGTATGCATGCATGGAATATTTTATATTTAATTTAGTTAATTAATTAAATTAATTTGGTTAATTAATTAAATTAAATTAATTAATTAATTTAATTACTTTTTTGTGGGGTGGTACAGGGTATTTAAGAGTTGAGCCTGCTCGACTTTAGCATTCCTTTCTTGTTTAATTTTAAAAAAACTGGTTTAAAAAGAATCTTGATGTATGAACATAATGGATCTAATTTCGATCCACGAATCGTTGGTCAAATTAAATATAACCGACTATTTATTTTAACGGATGGTGACTGCTAATAAAAAAATGTTACATACGACAATGTTAGGAATAAATGGAACTGCTCCACGGAAGGAAGAACAACCACAGACCACACATATCTATAATGACTCGCAGGAAGCTTAGGGAGCTTGGTTCGGATGTTTCAATGCATCCAACGATTAGTTCGTATTTGGCAATAAGCGATTATTTTAATTTGTTGCAATCACAAAACTTACTTGGTGATAAAAAAAAAATGCATCCAAAACTTTTATGAGAGAGGAATTCTGAACCTATTCTCCAAGTCCAGTCATTTTACATTCCCGTTCCATTTATATTTAAGCCAACACTTTGATAATCAAATAAAATATTGGTGATTTAACATATGTACATATTTCAAAAAGGATTGCCGAGATTTCAAAAACATCGAATAAGAGTTGGAGTTCAGGTAGAATTTGTTGTCCTTTTTACCGCCAAATATTTGAAATAAAATGGTTTTGGCACGCATAACAGTAAAAATAATGTTACAAATTCAAATTAAGTATATGTGTATGTATTTTATAAGAAAATTGGTAAACACAAAGGAAAAATAATCGAATATTCATTTTTACTTATGTATATTCAATTAAAATCCATTTAATATTATAAATGTTAATTATAGTAACACGACGGGTAGCGAAAAGAAACATCGTGCATGGTGCAAAGAGCTTTAGTTAGTAGCTAGTTACCTAGTTAGCCAGTAACGCCCACGCCAACTAGACAGAACTAAATCAATTAACGCTAGCCACAAAGGCAACATGGCAATAAACCCACATATGTATGCAAGGTTATGTATGTATGTATATATACATATGCATACGAGTATACATATGTGTGTACGTATGTATATGTACAATTAATGAAAGGGTAACTGAATGGACGAATTAGCGCGACCAAGCGACAGAGCGGAAGCGTTTTGTACGTTGAACAAAGCAGTGTTAGGCGATAATATTGTCGAGTTTTGGATGACGCGGCTGCTGGGGCGACAGCTGAGAAGTGACGAAATCATAACATAAACAGTAAACTATACCCTTTGCGGGAGATCGCGGGAGCTACAGTGGGCCGACCGCCTGATAGTTTGTGTCGTCAGTGACTAACTTATCAAATTAAGCACAACAACTATAAAAAACCACAACAACAACAGTATCGTAGAAATGAAACAACAAATTGGCAGTATGTTGACATTGAACGCAACGGAAACAAAAATGACATACATACATGTACATACAAATGTACATACATAACATATACGTATGTACATAGAGAAACAATTGAGGCCAACGAGGCGCAAAACTTACCTGCCGTCTGTCGTAGCCCTGCGCTATTTGGTGGCGTAATGCTGATGCCGCTGATGCTGCTTGCCGCACCGACGCTGACACCCAGGGACTGATTTGAGGCGCCCATGGACAAGGAAGCGGGGGTTGCGGTTGGGACACTGCTCGACTGTTGCGGCGTGCCGGGCATTGAGTGGGAGGTTGCGGCCAATGGAGGGGCTAAAGAGTCTCCTCCACCCGCCTGTTTGGCGCTACCTATGCGTATGGGGGTGCTGCTGCTAGCCGCGAAACTTGGCGTAGCTGGAGGAGCAGAAGCAGCGGGCGTTGGGGGGCCAGGATTGGGGCCGGGTGCGGCGGCACTCCCGCCAACTGCACTCGAGCTTGTGGGTTGCTGCATGTTGTCGCTTACAACGCTGTAGTATTTCACTGGACAGCAATCAGCATAGCTTTATTGGCATGTTGTTTCTTCCAGCACTCTTTATTCACACACACACGCACTTGTACAATCGGCGACAAGCAATTATTGATTTTGTGTGTGACTTTTTGCAACATAGAATTTAATGTTGTTGTTTTTGTATGCGACTGTTTCGCCTTTTGAAAAAAATGTATGTGTGTGTGTGTGCGTGCGTCGTTTCCTATACAAATTTTCACATCCAGAGTACAGATTTCTCAACGTGCCTTATTAATTAAAGTATTGCCGTGGCCACGTAACACACGCGCATTTCGCTGACGGTCCAATTAGTAACGACAAACAGAAAATTGCTGTGTTTATTATCATAAACACACACATACAATGTATATATATATGTACATACATATGAAGTTGATTTGTCGCACAATTTTCGTTTATATGTATATTTATAATAGTGCGCGCCGCATTCGTTCGGTTTCACGTCGCACTTCCGACTGATTGAACCTTAAGATCTGACCAGCGACACAACACTGCGCCAATATTCCATTTCATAAAGCTAAACTTGTTTCTTTTCGTATGAGCTCATCCAATGCGCCAATACGACCGCCAATACAACTACCACTACAGCCACCTAGCCACGAACACACGTAAAAGGCGCTTGAACGAGGACTTTGTGTTTACTGTTAGTGCAGCCCTTGTGATTATCGATAGTACAGCTCAGACAGAGTTGCAGCTGGCAAATGCCGTTTGAATTTGATTGATTATATACATCAGTTTATTAGGCAAGAGTTTATTTAAACAGTGCAACACTTCAAATGTCCAACTTCTAAACATGATGTGCTTTGGCTCGACTTTCGGCTTTGTGATTTTTTCATTGATAAAGGTTATTTTTCCAGCGCATCGAAACTGACCAAATACTTAGTTCATGCTTTTTATATGTTATTGCGAGAGTACCCCACAAAGGATCCATATTCTTGATCGAAAATAGTCGATTTAGCTGTTTCCGCCTGTATTTTTTGTCCCCGTTAATCCATTTCCCAATCCATGCAACTAATGAGTTACCATAACACTAATAATTTTTGTTTGTACCCAATATTGCTAATTAGCAAACCCGATACAAATTCACACAGTTAAGATACAATAATAAATAAATACTTATGTATGTACGTACATACATATTTATGTTGTGTTATGCGCTATTTTATTATCTAGCATCACCGGCATTCCGTCATTGTTGTTTTTATTTCACTGATAGTCCTGCAACACCTTTTTACCACATTTTCCAATACAACATTTCAATTTTACTCCAACAGGCACATATACACGTACGCCTATTGCGCACTGCAAATTCCTATAGTATGTACATACATACATATGTATGTAAGTACATACATATGTATGTAAGTACATACATACGTATGTAAGTACATACATACATATATTGGGTTTTGGACGTTCGATAGCATATTTATACATTATGTTCCGAGGAAGTACCGAATTTAGCATACATACGTTCCGCAACAAATACGAATGCATGTAATATACATACATATGTATATTCAGTTGCAAATGAAGTTATTCGCATTAAATAATATCTTATTCAGATAGCAGCTTTATTATAGCCTTAGCCGTCCGGGCCGACTCTGCTAGAATTCTTCATTAAACAAATTTCGCAAAATCGATTTTGCTCCGATATCTTCATAAGAAGCTTCTCAAACTCACGTATGTACATACATATGTATGTATGTTGTCACAATTAAATGGTCATATAAATAATGCAATTTATAGAAATACAGACGATTCATTGAATCATGTTCGTCATTTGTTTACATACATTGTATGTATGTACATACATGCATAAAACATTGGACTTCTCACGCCTTCTTCTGCGCAATATACATACATATGCAGTACATCAGTTGAAACGCAACATATACTCTGTTCTCAGTGAAAGGGTACAAAAGCATGACTTTATGAACATGCAATTTAATAATTCTTTCATGTTGAAGTTCTTGAGAATTACAAAAATAAATATAAAACTTGTACATATTAGTCTGTTATATCTAAAAATAGGAAAAGCACTTGTTTATAATTTTGTAAGAATTATATGCCTGAATTTGTCTTTATATGCTTTCTATGCGTGACAGGTATTTCGAGTTTGTGCAAGTTATTTGCAAACTCTTAATGATAAACTTCCCAACTTAGGATATTAACCGTAGGGTTCGCACAATGGGGCATTATTTTTAAAATACATATGTATTTAAATGCATTTAAATACATATGTATGTAATTGTGCATGTGAGAGAGGAACGGGATTCCCTATAGGACATTAGAGGAAGTATTTAAGGCCTGATCGGGATAATACAATTATGTTTACATATGTTAATAAATAACGCTAATTCAAGTAGCCTAATTGGTTAACATCCATGCGCTAAGTTTTGATTTGTGTTTTTGTGGAGTTTCTCAGGAGCAACCAAGTGCCAAGCAGCTGGAGTATTTTATGAGTGATTGTGGTGATGGTGTAGGTTGCAGTTAGTCATCCAGGTCAATGTCGGAATCATCTGAATCATAGCCGCTTCGTATGGTCTTTTGGGGCCGATTTATGTATGGTTTTCTCTTAACATCTGGTGGCTGCATCAGGTCGCCCTTATAGTCAATGGCGCCTGACTGCGCAATGCGCCACTCAAGCATCTCTGTTGAGAAGTCATCGCAGTTGCCCAAATCAGTGAATCCAACAATGAAGTCCCTGGTCTTGCTATCCTTCACCAATGCAATGGTGGGGATAACCTTAATGCGCAATCGTTGCGTCAGGAAAGGCGACTTTTCAGCATTCACCTTGCAGAATTTGGCCTCGACGTGCTTGCCAGCTATTATTTTCAGATGCATGTCGACAATGCGACATCGTTCAGTGCTGTCTTTGTAGAAGTGACACACAATGTTGGGGGATTTCTTGGACACCTCAAAAAACTCCTTTTCATTGGCGAGCTCCGTATACGTGCCATGACCCTGAAAGTTCACAGTAATTCAGAAATGCTCAGTTGGGGACATTGGTTGGCACTCACGTTACGAATCCACTCCTGCTTTTTGTTATTCAGATCTTTCATCTCACGGATTCGTTGGTCTCGTATTGCTTTAAGATCGTCCGAGTCTAAGTTATCTAAACGATCCAACTGTTGATCAAGCTGCTTTTCAATTGTCTGTGCCGCGTTGAGCAATTGATTTTCCAATAGGTGCTCCATTTTACCAAATTTTTGATAAAAGAATCCTGTAGATTGTTCTCGTGCTCTTATTTATCCGGTCTGAGACTGTGTACGCGTTGCGTGTGTATGGTACGATTTTACAAGAATCCACTGCGTATGTGTTTGTGTCCGGCAATAGCAGAGTTAGACCACATGCGTCATGTTTTGTGAAAAATTGAGAAGAGCAAGCGCCGTTAGAACGGGTTATCATTACAGGGCGTTTAACCCACTAATAAATTGTCACTTACATCTATTTTTTTCTATTTTATTGACCGTTTATTGGCTGTTCTTGCTCTCGTATATCACTTGTGGTTCCACCTTAATAAATTTACTTCCCCCCTCTTTGTTTAATGACACTTCGGAACGAACTGCCAACTTGGCTACATTAAAATTTGAATTGAAAATTATGGACGATATGACAGATTTTACGAGTTGGCATCATCTCATTGAAACTATCGAATAAGTGAATACAAATACAAGGCATACATCGATATTTTTCGTTTAATGTAGCTCTAACTTTCTTTGGCGGCGCTTTGGATTTTCGGCGTCTTCAAATTAATATATGATATTATAAATAAATAACGTTACGACGCCTGCCCGTAAATTTGTGTTGTGTTTTGGAAAGAGAGGATTGTGCATTGGCGGTAATATAATTTTTTTGTTTATATAAATAAAAAGCTTGTGGTAGGATTAAAATTTTGCATAGATACATGCATAAATACATACATACATATGTACATGGTCAGAATCATTTTACCGGGTGGCAAAAGTGCATTGTACATTTTCTTACAAAACCAGCGAACTTAAAAAGTTTTCGAATGTAAACACTACACCGAAGTTAATTCTCTCCATCGTGATGTCTTGACTTTAACGCTGTGCTGTAGCCGCCATTTTAAAATCCCATAGCCTCGCGGAATTGCCTGTCTGTTACACAGTGGTGGCTAAAAATAAAACTACATGTGCCGCATATTTAAAAACAATGGTTGCATTAATTAAGTTTTAATGATATCCTTGTCGAATTCCCTAAAAAATTTGGAATAATTTGGGTAGAGGAACGCTATGTTCTGGTTTCCAAATATTAATTCATTCATTATTTTGCTATGCCAACAGTCCTGGCGTGTACTGTTGTCGCCTGGTTATGCAGTTGCCATATGTGTGTATGTATGTACATGCATATGTATGTGATATAAACTATATAAGTATGTTCATTTTTTTTATTACTAGTTAAAAATTTCAGTGTAAATGAACAGAAGAGTTAGAATCGTCATCAAATTTTTTTATGTATGGTTAGAATTTTTGTATTCTCAGCCTAGACTTATGTATGTTTGTTTCTATATATATGTACGAGTATACATACATACATATGTTTGTATGTATTTGCATACAATAAAAAGCGTAAACATTCAATTTAATTATCAAGTGTAGGCATAGTCGCACGCATGCATTCATATGTATGTGTGTATATGTATGCTTAAGTACCTTGTCACATTCAGACATGCTTATTTATGTATCTACATATGCATATGTATGCGTGTATGTATGTAGGAAGCATGTATGTATGTATTTCGCTGCACTCAGTGGTAGTTTGTTTGTAGTTGAGTTTAATAAACTGTGATAGCATGGAAAAAGATCAAAACAATAAACCAGAAGAATTACATTGCCGACGGAAAGTAAGGGCTTGGCGCATAACTGCGCCCCATTTATTATGTACATGTGCATGTGTGTACATACTTCATACATGTGTATGTACATACATTTTATAGCTACTTCCAAATATACATGATACATACGTACATATGTATGTACATCTATAAGTAATTGTTGTTTGTCCCCAGCGTCGTTAACTTACACAGAGCTATTTTTACGCATTTTATTTTCGCACTGCCATTGCACTTTCTAAGAGAAAAGACCAAACTGTAAAGTGCAGTTTCTATAATCATTGCCACCGGCCGCCCAAACATATTTCCCATTTAGCTTTGCAGTTGCGAAGACTTTCTTTTTTTGCTGCTGCATTTATGTGGCATCAGGCTGTCTATTTTGTTGAGCTTATGAAAATGTACTTTTTGCTTCGTTTTTTTTTAAATCTATTATTATTTTTTCTTCGCCTTTCACTGTTTGTTCTTGCATGGTTTGTGCACTTTGCGCATTCTTAGGATGTGCAACTGGCCTACATGCATCAATACCTACCTGTGAATACATTGCATTTTATTAGCGTTTTTCTTCCCTTTTAATTTTTTTTTTTTTTTTTTGAAATCACTTTTGTCTATTGAAGCTGAACGACAGCGCTTTACTCGGCCTAGTCATTTGTATAAAAAGCTTACTATTTATACATAAATAGAATTGTACATAAAATTAAAACACACTTTAGTACATACTACTAAACAAGTTCAGATTTTCAAAAGAAATATTGGTTGCAGTTCTATGAAATCGGCCGATAATTCCTACATACAAAAAAAAAAAAACGTTTTTATACTACTGTACTATATGTACTAGTTTTGTGCGAATGTATGCAACACACAGATGGAGGCGTGGCACACCCCACTAAGTACATAAATATATTATTGATCAGTATGAGAAGACGAGTAGATATAGCCATGTCCGTTTGTCTGTCTGTATGAACGCAAGGATCTCAGAAAGTACAAGAACTACAATAACTAAACTTGGTATTCAGGTTTTCCTGAGCCCTAAGCAGATCAAGTTTGCTTATTTTTTCTGATACATGCAGTTGCTGATGTTGTTGTTGCTGCTTTGGTTCAACTTTATATATATATATATATATATATATATATATATATATATATATAAATATATATATATATATATATATATATATATATATATATATATATATATATATATATATGAATTGAATAATTTTTTAAATTAAATTAATTATGTAATTACATATTGTTTTTAATAATTTATTTTTAATGTTCCTGCTTTATGCAGTTTATTTTACTGTCGGGCTTGCGCGACTTGCGTTCTCTCTTCTCTTTTGTCTCATTTTCAGGCAACGCCAGTCGGAAAAATGAAATTAGTCTAAACTTGTAGCTCTCTGTTATGCCATTAATGGCACTTTAAGAAGCTGTACATAAATGATGCATTTCAAATTTGTATTTCGTTATTTGGGCCTAATGAAAAACTTTTTACGACCCTTCGAACAGCGTTCTTTAGTTCGCAATTCGTAATTCTCAAAATCTATTAATCCGCAAACATATGGATGCGTATTGTCCTGACCAGAACTGGTAATAAAACAATGCGGATTGCAGCTGCTGTAGGTAGTTGCGATTTTGACCCCCAACTATCTACCTGCTTAAGCCGGTGCATTATTTAAGCGACGCGCCTGATTGTCAGCAACTAATATAAAGTGCAGACGTAGTGCCGTCAACACGTGCTGGAAAAATAAAAACGCTAAGCGTATGCGATTAGCGCAAACAATAAATATTTAAAAGACAACTGTGATCGCTAACTGCAAGTTTGAGAGGGAAAACTGGTGAGTGGGACGCAATGCCGGTTCCAGATAAACGTGAGGAATGCTTCACTTACAACAAAAATAAAAACTAGCTTAAACAAACCGCAGAGATTACGATTGAATTTCAAATGTGTAGCGGAAAGCAGCAATAATAACACTTTTCGTTTCAATTTCGTTGCGCTTGAAGTATGAGAAAATAGGGCTAACGCTTTTCTATCTTATGTCTCTATTACAGATTGTGCAACACGTCAGAATCCAGAAAGGCAACTTATCCAGATTACGCTAGAATGCTAAGCAAGATGGCGCAGCCCAATAATTCCGGTGGAAGTGGCGGTGGACGTAGAGCACCAATGTCTCTCAATGCCGGCGGCCCTGTAGCTCGGGCTCAGCAACAGCAGCAACAATTGAGCGGCAGTAACGGCCGCTCCAACAGCCCACAGAATTCCAATGCAGCAAGAAAATCCGAACCGCAGCAGGCAGGCGCTCCTTTTGTTGCTATCAAGGATTTTAAGAAAGCACAACAACAGCATGCGCCCTCCCCGCCAGTACTTGATGATAAGAAAGGTTCAAATGGTGTCAGCAAGCCACCGAATGTTAAGGAAAAGGTTCCACAGAATAGCAACAATACTACCACCTCTAAGGAAGAAGTCAAAAAGGATCAGAAATCAAAAGATAAAGGGTCTGACAAGAAGGAATCGAAAGCTGACACCAAACGCGATCCAACTGATGAAAACACTTCTAAGCCCAAAAAAGATAGCGAGAAGGAAACTATCCAAAATTTAGCAGCTGTGGAGCATAAAAATACAAAATTTGTTGAGAAAGACGATGATGTTATAGTGATCGAATCCGATAACGTTGTGGGGGATGTCCCCACCACACCGACATCCGATCGAAAGTCCGCCCGCAAAGCGGCAAGCCAGCAAAAATCACCGAGTAGTAAGCAAAACGTTTCGCCGGCACCTAAAAAACCGCCACAGCCAGAAACGATTGTTTCTACCACAGCAGACGTCACAGAAGACGTCGTCATGGAACCGCTAACAGTTGATGCTTCACCAATCAAAAACCTGGCAAACGTCGCTAGCAGTAGCAATACGCAACCGGCAGCCACATCCACACCTGGACGTAGCAATTTGTTTGGCTTTAGAAGCAGCAAGCAGACTAACGAAGTGGAATTGGCCGCCCAGCCCTCTAATTCGCCACCAATAGGGCCACCGCGCTCCTTTGCGCAGATCACCGGCCGGCGCAGCATACGCCCAATGCCCAAGCTTACACCAGCCCAGTTGGAGAGCTACCGGAGCATCAACAGCGAACTGGATGTATCTAGCTGTACAAATGCAAGCATGAATGCCACTGTTGGCTCGGAGATACCTAACAGCTCGTCGTTCTCATTCTCGTTCTTTGGGCGTGGTCGCAAACGTGAGCGTACTCCGCCTCCATTGACGGGCTCGCAGTCGGCCACTGATCTGGCCCAAGACTTATCGCCGCCTAAGCGTGCCCGCTTCGAATTGTTCAACATCAATCTGGCCTCCCCCTTCACCATGTTGCGCACACGTTTCTCAAAGGCCAGTATTAGCACACCCTCCCGTCTGCAGCTGGACCAAACACCACCAGCTGGTGACGAAGAGGGCGAAGTACAGAATGTATCGGGCATTGTTATCGAGGAAGAGGAGCAGCTTAACACATCTGCGCAGCCCAGTGCTAACGAAGAAAACAAGGGACTCACTATCGGCCAAGAAGCTGGTCTAGACACACCAACAAAGAGCGGAACAACACAAAAAGATGTGGGTGCCGAGCAAGTTGAAGGCGATGCAAGTGGTCAACATGAATCTGCTGAAATTCTCGCTGAGGGAGAAGGCATCAACAGATCGCGCTGCTCTATAATGTAAAAGCTAAAGGATCTTTTTATTTCTTCATTTTCTCCATATACACACATTTGTAGTTTAGGTTTAAAGTATCATTATTAGTAGTTCTGTCACATAATTATGTGTAATTACACGCACTTGGTTGAGCGAGCTGGGTCATGTTTCCCAACGTGGAAATTGATGCCATGCATGACTCTCTCCAGTGCAGTTGTGTCTTAAGAGAATTTCTCGCTGAATGCTTTTGCGGTTTCGAAAAAAAGACAGAAGCATCCACTGACAAATCTCACGGGCATGAAGAATGGAATAGTAGTAAACGAAAAGATGATAGGTACCCGTTACAATGGGGTACAACACACATAAAAAAGAACAAAGAGAAATTGAGATATGATGTATCTATAAGTCTTACGTTTTATGTACGATTTTATATTTTGTCCTACCGTAAACATCATTTGTATTAAATGTAACAAACGAGAAAAAACAGAATTTGCAGCAAATACAAAAAATCAACTTATTTGTAAAAATGTACCCCGTATTTTATAAATAAAGTGCAAATTTTAAAAAAAAATAACGTCACATGTATATTTGAAATTCCATTACTCAACGTAGAATTAGTGGGAAATACTTGTATGAAGGCGATATGAGTTATTATTTAGTTGGTGTTGCTCTATAGTCACAGTCAATAGTCCCAGACTATTATATTATAATGATCTAGTAGGAGTAATTTTAAAATGTTCAAAAATATCTGTTCCATTTCAAAAACAGGAATGAACGTCAGCTAGCTGTTATATACCCTGTTAATAATATATGTTTAATTAATTTGTATACCATGTACCCAAAAGGTATACTAGTTTACTGCGAATGTATGTAACACATTATTGATCAGGATGACAAGACGAGTCGATATAGCCATGTCCGTCTGTCTGTATGAGCGCAAGGATATCTCACTTGGTATCGGGGTTCCCATAAGCCCAAGGCAGAACGAGTTTGTTCTTTTTTTCTGATACACCCCGCACTTCCCGCTATTCGTGTTTTTTCCATAATTTTTGGAATTGTTGATTCAAATTTAGCAAAGTAAGAGATTATGAGTCCGTATGCATTATGATAGGCCGATTTTAAAGGAAGTTATAGCCATAAATATAATGTCTGCCCAAGCGCAGAGACACTTCCTCATATAAATGTATGCTGATGAGACTGTACATAGAGATAGGTCTCCACTCTTGTATGAATGTATTGAATGTTTATTATTTAATTTAATTAATTAATTAATTTTGTTTTTGTATAAGTCCCCTAAGTCCTAGGCAGGTGAAGTTTATTTTTTTATTCTGATAAATATAAATAATTAAATATATATATTTTTTAATTTTCCTTTTTTGTGGAGAGTACAGGCTATTTTACTGTCGGGCTTGCTCGACTGTAGCGTTCTCTCTTGTTTTTAATTATACTTCATGATATCCTTGCGTTCATGCAGACGGACATACATATGTACATACATAGCTGCATACATCACATAGTCTTGTCAAATGATCGAAAATATATACAATAATGCTTTTTCTGTTAAGCTAGTATACTCTTTTGGTACAGTGTATAATTAAGCAATGAAGGGACTTCTTTCAGCAGTTTCGATCTAAAAAGTTTGTGCCAAACAACTGCTCGCAGATACACCTCCAAACTCTGCAGTGTGACCGAAATGTATAATTTAATAATGAAATGAACTAGAATATTTATTTAATATTTAAAAATATTATGATATCAATTCGAAGCATTACTCTATTTTTCTGGTCTACATTTTAAATTTGCTACTCCACCAACTGATTTTGAAATGAAATGGTTTTATTATTATTATTACCCATTCAAATAAGTTGCAGGAATACAAGATCTTAGTCTTTTACAGAACCATAATTTCATGAACTCACGCTTGTTTTCTTTTGTGTGTCATCTCTAGGGTGTGCTTGGCATCGATAAGTTTCGATATTTTCACAGTATTAGTTCAAAATCAACGCCTGCGTTTGCGCGGCAGAAGCAACACGAGAAATTAAACATGGAAAACACTGATCCGGCCGCTAAGCAATCCGAGCAGCAAATTGACTATAAGACGCCCAAAAAAACAAACTCGATGATCGACAGCGAGCATTTGTTGGAGAAAATAAATATACTTACAACCAAGCCAGAGAATCAATCCAAAAATGCAAAGGTAAACTATTTTTTGGTTTGCGTGTGTGTGTGCACGTAAATATGTATGTATGGTGTGTGTGTGTGTTTGGTGATGTGCTGGATACGGTTAAAGTAAGAGAACGATTAGGCTTTACCGTTACTTTGTGCTTCTTAACCCCCCTATGCTCACTTTTTATGTGCAGGTTCCTACCATTAAGGATTTTGTCATCGTTAAGCCGATCAGTCGAGGTGCCTTTGGGAAAGTATTTCTGGGTTACAAAAACAGCGATTCAAACAAACTGTACGCCATCAAGGGCATGCGCAAATCGGAGATGATAAACAAAAATATGGTGTCGCAGGTCATAACCGAACGCAATGCTCTGGCCCTGTCACGTTCGCCCTTCTGCGTCAATCTATTCTACTCACTTCAATCGCAGTCTTATGTCTATCTGGTCATGGAATATATGGTGGGTGGAGATCTGAAGTCACTTTTGGCTATGTACGGATACTTTGACGAATCCACGGCCCGCTTCTATGTGGCCGAAATGGCAATGGCGCTTCAGTATTTACACCAGCATGGCATTGTGCATCGCGACATTAAGCCGGACAACATGCTGATCTCGGCCAGCGGGCACGTCAAACTGACTGATTTTGGCCTTAGCAAAATCGAAATGCGCCGTGACTTGGAAATATCCGATTTAATAAATTGTTCGCCGAATCTGAATGCGCGCACGCCTGGTCAGCTACTCTCCCTAACCTCCCACCTGTCCTTCGGATCAGAGAAGAAACTGCTGGATTATGGACCTGGCATTCCAACACCAGTGGGCACTGGCACATCGCATCTCATGCAGGTGATCAACAAACACAGCTTGATAATGGAGTCATCAGACAGTGAGGCAGATACATCCCTTAACGATGCGGAGAAAACCAGCGATAGCAAAATCTCAGGCGTCTCGCCATTTTTCTCGGCTGAAGAAATGAATTTGTCCATCACGCACACGTGCGCACTTAATGTAGGTAATATGGTTGTGTGCCAAACGTTACTTCTACTGTTTCTTTTCGATCCCACAGCTCGTGGACAGCAGCTCATCCTCGTATCACACCTGCAGTTCAGCCGAGTTTGTCAAGAAATCGCCCCCAGTTGGGAAGGCAACTCCAGCAGCAGCCTTGGCACCATTGCCAAACAAAAGACGCGTAGAGTTTGCAGTGGCCAACGATTCATCCGAGTGTAAGGTAAGCGTCAGTAGGTGGGGGTTAGCTCTCCCTTAAACACCCCTTAAAACTATATTTAATCTCTAAAGGGCTGCAAATTGGCTGAGCGGGACAACAACAACATTGTGAGCAACAAAAATGCAACCAAGATGGAAAATACGAACGAAGGCTCGTTTGAATTTTCCATGGTGCGCAGGCGTTCGCTCGAGGAGGTGCGTTTCGTGTATGTTTTATGTGTGTGTGTTTTCCTATTTGTGAAGCTAGTTAGTGTCAGTGTTTTGGTAGTTGGTTGGTTGGCTTACGATAATGCCCCTGATCTAAGAAATATTTGTTTAATGAGACTGTGTAGCTTTATCATAAAGTTCATAAATGTACTCCTCTCGCTTTTCAATCAGCATAATCGCTACTCTAAGGGGCAGGAGGATTCCGGTGTTTCCAGCCGCAAGGGTGACGACTACTCTAGTTCTCATCTAAATTTAAATAACGAGACCACAACATCTTCCATTGAGAAGACCACAGATAATTTGAACAATTCCAAAGGGGACTACAGCTGTTCTGACTACTCACGCAGGTTTTTGAATTAACGCATAAGCGCAATTTTCCGTTACTGAAGAACTGTTTTTTTTATAGTTACAACGTGACGAATGCTAATGAGCTTAGTGGTATTCGCATGAACTCTCCTTTTCGCAATCTCTCTAAGCACTTTAAGCATCCCGAATTTCTCCGCGGCTTGAAACGAAAAATTAATCTGGTCAACCGTTCGGATAACACGTCGAGTATGGAAGCGGATGCCATGGGCGCCGGTAATACAGGTCTAACGCAAGAAATCGAAATACTCAACATAGGCAGCAGCACTCCCAAGAAGCGCAAGGCCCGTGCATCGCCTGTGCACCTTAAGGTGCGTTCGTTATCCGACGATGAGATGCCCATGCAGCATTTGCTTGGCCCAGAGGCGAACGTGGCCAATGTGGTTTTCTCGACGCCGGTGTCGTCGCAAAAAATGCCCCGGCGCGATGGAGGCCTCTTGGGCAAGCTGAAGGCCACTCGCTTTGCACTGCCGCCGTCTATCGATAATAAAAAGGGAGACTATGCCGCAACGACGTCAGAGAAAATGTCTGGTGTGCAATATCATCTTAAACTAGCGGATGATCCCACCATGTCGCCGATCAATCATGGTGTCGGTATTATGCCAAAAACTCCAAAGAACACTATTAATACACCTTTTCGCACACCCAAATCGGTCAGGCGTGGTGCTCGAGTTTCCAGCGAACGCATTCTTGGCACGCCGGACTATCTGGCACCAGAGCTACTACTAAAGCAAGGCCATGGGCCTGCAGTTGATTGGTGGGCCCTCGGTGTATGCTTTTATGAATTCATGACCGGCATTCCACCTTTTAATGACGAGACCCCGCAAAAAGTATTTGACAACATTCTAAATAAAAACATTGAATGGCCTGAAGGCGACGAAGCCTTATCTGCCGATGCTATGGAAGCTGTGGAGCTTCTGCTTACCATGAACCCAGCGGAGCGACCGGCTGCAAAGCAAGTGCAACAAATGAACTTCTTTGCCTGCATAGACTGGGACAATATTGGTCATATGGAGCCACCGTTTGTGCCCACGCCCGACAATCCGACAGATACGGGTTACTTTGAGGCGCGCAACAACCTGCAGCACCTAAAATTGTCGAACTTTGCGCCGGAAGATTAAGAGGAGTCGGTCTATCGCAAGCACCTTATTCGAATGTTATTCCTATTTATAAATGTATGTAATTACAATTAACGTTTATATTTAAGCCATTCATTGTTATCTCCCGATAAGTACTGTATTTATGTATTCTCGTTGTTTAAATTTCTTCTGTTATATAAAAATTGTATTTTTAGAGATCGTGTGTAACGGCTCGACTTCGTTATTGTAATGAACCTAACAGCTTCGAAAAACTTTACAAATCTAATCTGAAAGATGTACGAAACGAGTTGGTAAATCACAAACATGTGCAACAAAATAAATTTAGATATGTATTTCAAAAGTGCTTCATGCTAACTTTATTTCCATTTAAAAGCCATAAGATACTAACCATATAAAAATAAGAAAAATTATATATGTATATGTACCTAAGAAGCTCTGAGCTTAAAGTCAAAATCCCAGACCTCGGGTATTGTCGCTAGAAAACTTTGTTCATAGAAGACGTCAATTAAGCGGCATACCATATGCGGTACCGCACGCATCTCGGGGACTGGCTGCTCCTTAAGAATACTTACAGCCTTCACAATTAACTGTTTCACATCAGTAAACTTTTTATTAGCCAACAGCATGGTTAACTCACGCATGCCGCTCTCATATTCCTCACAGGGCAGACGTGCGTTTATGCTCGCCGGAAACAAGGAGTAAATAATGCAGGCTAGGCAGCGGGTCAGCACCTTTCGTCTGCATGAGGAATTTTGGTATTTATATATTTTATTTATTTAGTACTCTTTTACGCACCTGTTTGTGATGACCTCGGTTTTCAGTCCAATGGCGCCCAGCAAGCCATCACTCCAGCCCTCGGATTTAGTGGACGCTACTTGCAAATGACGTGCCAGCATGCATAGCGGTTTTTTCGCATGTTCTGAAAGGGACAGCAGTTGGCAGCCGCGAGATATAATCAGACCCCAGACCAGAGATAGGCGGGGTTCAGTCTGCGGGGTTGTCTTTAAATTTTCAAGCAACTGTGTTAGGTCCTGCAAAAAAGTAATTTTCTCGCCAACGTTTTCCATCTCCTCCATCTTATAAAGTACGAACACGTGCAGCGAGAAAAAGTAGCCCCCTCGCATGACTGGCATTAGATCTAGTTTGGGCAACGACATATGTAACGCCTGAAACAAATCACGCCAGGTGGGTGCGTGCCAAGGACTTAAATCTGAGGAGGTTCGAAAGTAACACTCGATGCTCGTCTCCAGCAAAGAGTAAATGCAAGCGATGTAAGTATTCAAATGGCCAATGGCTGAGAGCGCGGCGCACATCACCGGATTGGCCGGTGGACACTGAAGCTGCCAATGCACCAGAGCATCAATGTGCATGCTACAAAAAGGCGGAGCGGACGGGTGGGTAATTGCTGTAATGAGATCGTTTTGGACTTACTTTGATATCTCCTCGCTTTGTGTTTGGGTTGGTGCTACGATTTCCAGCATCAAATTGAGAGCCTCCCTTCGCTGCTCCTCTTGCGTGTGCTGCTCATTGGTGGCTGAAATAGCGTGGTCTATGCTGTTTAAGAGCTCCACGAAGGCGGCATTGAATGCGCGCTCGCCCTCCTTTGTTGCTAGCAGTTTTTTATGCTTCGCCCCACACGCACGTTGCATGCAGATGTAAGATCTCGTATAGAGCATGCGCTTCGTAGTTGCTTGACTGATGGATTTCGGTGCACCACGTTCCGGCATCATGGCGCAGCCAAGACGTAGCAGACTGCAAGCGAAGTACATTACATGGCTGCTTTAATCAGCTATTTTCTACTCACTCCAGAACAGCACGATCAGCGTAATTGCTCTCCGACGGCAATTTGAGCACGATGGCCGGCTCCACAGTGGCCACGAACCACTTCATCAGCTGCTCCAATTCATTGAATTCCACCAAATTCCAAGGATAATTAATGGCGTCCTCTAGGATTTTGCTTGTATTGGGATGTATGTGTATGTTCGGTTCAAAAGCGAGCTTTACGAAAATCACAAATAATCGTGATACTGTTGCTGTAGGCGTTGTTATCGGCATCTCTGAAAACCAGCCGTTCCAGTCGATCCGTATAAAGATATGGCCCAGCATAGCATGCGACTCGGGAACGTATTTTTGCACGCTGTCATACAGCTGGTCGATATGCATGACCTTGGGTGTGAATCGCTCCCACGGTAGCTGAGACAGTCCATCGTGAATCGGCGCCAACACATAGCCAGCCACGTTTGGCAGCGCAAAGTGATGCACATACCAGGCAAACACGTGCTCCAAAATTTTTGGAGACGATGGCAAATACTCCAGCACGTACTGCACGATGGAGATGAATGATCTTATAATTATCTTGCACGTTGTAACGTGCGCCTCGCTCCAGGGCAAAAGCATTTTACCCTGGGCCGACAATTGTCGGATCCAATTTGCCGCGGAGACCTGCTGTGTCGTCTGATCAGTATAGATGATGAGCCACGGCGCAAACATTTCTATGATTGCTCCAAAAACAATGTCGCTGACTGTAATAAATGCCCATCGAGTTATTCAGTGTAAGAACAATATAAATCTGAGTCTTAAACGCCAAGATACTGCCTTTCTCTTCCGAATCGAACTATTTATACGAGCGTAATCAAAAACAACAGCGGTATATGTTGAAAATGTATTTTTAGTAAGAAAGTACATATTGAAACGTCGGGAATGTCCTTGTCACATCTCTGAGACTGTTTTATCACTTGAGAATCGCATATAGTGGCTACAGTGGCTAATACAGAAACAGCAACGTAAAATGGTCTAATTTAATCGTTCAGTTTTTCTAACAATTCAAAAATTGTGCCATTGCTATACTTGCAGTTGTTGCTGTTAGGATTCTGCATGCGAATTATATACGTATGGTATTATTTGATAAAATCTGTCCTACAACCTACCTACAATTACGATTAGAGACGTTAGAATTCAGAAGTCTACATAGTTGTATCTACAAAATGTTTATAAATGTTGAATGATATTGAAACAGTCACGAATGTGATAAGGTAACAAACATAAAAAAAAAAAGACGAATTGATAACCTCCTACTTTCCTGAAGTCGGTTAAAAATTGAGGTTTGTACATTATATGTCTTGTGCGTATGTACATATGTATATGTACATAAATAAATTCTCTATAGACTTTGAAACTTCGATGTTGATCAAATTTTGTGGCAATATTCAAAATAGTCCAATGGTTGAACCTGTGAAGTTTCGTGGCGATTCGTCAACGCGATCAACCATCGGTTTCTGCTTTATTTCTGCTAATTTTCATTTGTTTGACAGTTCCTTTTTACTCTGTCTGTGTGTTTCATTCAAATTTGCAAGATTTTCGTGAAATGTCTGGACCCATAGAAACGGAACACGATGGGACCGGAGCCGCGAGTCAAATGCGCGAAAGGGCATCCACATCTAAAGCCAGAAAAACGAAACAAGAACGGAAGTCGTGGCTTCGACAATGCGCGAAAGGCCACCTACATCTGATCCAAGAATAACAAACAGGAGACGATGGATGTCCTTTGTACAAACGGAGAAATATGGACGATAGTAGGGTACTCAACTATAATCAAGGACCTAATCGAAGCCATAAAAAGCGTCGGAAAGCTTTCTCAGCACAACAATTCAGTGGCGCAATGACGCTAGCTATCAAATAAGCAATCGCTTGGCATTCACAATTTAAAACGCAGTTTTACTTACTCTGATCGGCCAACAATTCCTGGTATACACAAATAGACGCGGTTAACACCACATGACAGAAGCAGGTGAACCACATAGCAAGCGCTGGACAATAGTCCTTGTGCTTAGGATACAGCCCGTGCAGGCCGTGATGAAGTCTCTCCTTTTGGAAGTGGCGAGCTAAGAGCGAGCATGTGTCCGTGCCGGCTTTCAGGTTGAACAACTTTTGCCGGCGTGAAAAGTCCATTGCTGTATTATTGAGCTGGAGCTCGTTACTGTCCAAAGTCAGGGAGGATCCGCAGTTACCGCGGTCTAGCAACGCGTTTAACAAATCTAGCAACACAACCGACATCAACTTTTGGTCTGAGATCCTATCCAACACTAACTGCATGACTTCGCCATAGTGTTGCGGAAAGTCATACCCAAAGATATGTACCAATTGGCGACGAAACTGATCCTGCAGCAGGCTACTGTCCGGCTGAGACCACGACTCAAGGCCCTGCAGCACCAGCAGAAGTAGCTGGTTTATCTCAGTTAGCTTTGGTTGGAATGTCTCTAGCCAGGTAAGCAAATCGAATTTCGATAGCAGAACAAAAAGGATTTTGGGGTCGCTGCGCTTAAGATGCGAGTCGATAAGAAACTGATACATCTGCAGAAAATATTTAGGGCTGGTTTGGCAGGGCACGAAGACTCCGGAGAACACTTTAATGAGATCCCCGCGTCGCAGTGCCAACTGAAGGATATTTAAGCCTTGTGTCTCCTGATTTGATTGTATGAAAACCTGTAGAAATTAAGGGATGATAAGGCTATATGCATAAACCCTAACCTATAACCCCACTTACCCCCAGCTCTTCCAATACACGGCAGTATAAATCGTTAGTGGGCTGAAACTTCATTGTGATATCTGTCATATTATCCACTACGTGATAGAAAAAGTCGGTGCCGATTTCTGTGACCAGCTTGTTCTGCTCTGCCTGTAGAAGCAAGCTAATGCATCCACCTAGCTCCTCGATGGCCTGTGCAAATCCGTCCACATTAAGCTGCAACATCTCCTCGATAATTTTATCATGCCGCTCTCTGTTGACATCCATATTCCGTGAGATCTGATCATTGCGACGAATGTGTTCAGGCACTAGTGTAATCTGCGCCGGTCGCGTGCACTTGCGATTGAAAAGAAGGGAGTCGCACTCCTTGTTGCGGGTCTCGTTGTAAGGCACCATCTGGTAGAGAGCCGGCACACGGTCCAAGTAGTTTCGGTTCAGACAGTCGAGTTCTGAGCTATTGTAATGGAATTTGCTGGAAAGGGGAGAGCAAGAATGAAGTAGAAAAGGACTTGAGCGGGATTTCTCAGTATATACTAACTTGGCGGTACTGTTTAGCGTTTGAATTCGGCGTTGTAGCTCCTTCAATGTTTTTTTATTAATAGGTCGCTGCTTGAACAGGTCTGGGCGGAAGTACGCAGGAGGTGGTTGTCGTTTATCGTACGAACTAAGGTGACTCTTGATTCGCTCTATGGTCGTACCTCGTGCCTTTGGCTGCAGAGGACTACGAAGCTGTTTTTGCGCGTGCATTCGGAAACATTTGCGCGTCCAGTTGTCCGCCTGCTGGCACTGTTCCTTACGAATAGTACTCGGGTTTAAGAATTCTGTCCAGTGGCTAGCATTGCCATTGAGCAATTCGCGCAGCTTTTCACTGTTAAACTGCGTTGGTAATTGTTCTGTATCTCTAGAATATTTGTTTATATTTGTGTCCTCAAGCCAGAGTGTGAAGTTTCTCATCAGCTTGGCACAACTGCGATAAAAATAACCAGCTGCATCGTCCTGTGCACGCTTTGCTGCCTCGCTAGTATAGTGGTTCTCGGCAGCTTTAAGCTGTGTTTTTATGCGCTTCATCAGCGATATATTGTGGTCGTAGAATTTATCCGACACCCCAAAATTGTGAATGAAGCTGTGCGCTTCGCTATCAATAGGAACGCGCCACAAAAAAAGTTCGAAAAACTTCTGATTGATGATAGGAAAGAGGGCATGCGTCACATCCATTCCGGCTATAAGATTGGCATACTTATACAGCACCAACATGTGAGGGGGGAAGGAAGCCGTTTTAGTTAGCGCTAATGTTTTTCTGAGTGCTACGTCCATTTGACTGCTTGATGGCTCGCTAGTGGCCAGCTGGCGCAGTAGTTCCGGCCAATACCGCATATCGTGTAGCCGAAACTCAATCTCGAGTAGCACCAAGTTGAGCCAACAATGCTGTGGAGAAAGCGTGGGAATGCGGGCGGCGGACTGAGTCCCGAAAAACGCTTTAAGGGCAGAGGGCTTGGGTACTACTTTCCAATCCTCACAATCCTATACAACAATATGTACAACATAGTAGTATTGATTGGAGAAAAAAACACTCGAATTTTGTACCTTAAAATGGTTGTAGAAGAATTCTACGGCCTGTACGCGACAGTAGGTAAATTGATAGGCAATGCGCAGCATCTTGTCCAGCAAATAGAGAAGGTAGGTGTTTACTGACCAACCAGGCAGTGCAGTAAAGCAGTTGAGCCACACGTTTATAATGTTCAATGGCGAGTAAAGTCCATAGCTGTTGCAAGTAAGACATATTAATGCGAGCTACGGAAGAAAGAGATGTTTTCCAACTTGCCTAGTGTAGGACGTAATTTGATGGTGCAACATGTTGTCAAACAACTCCAAAACGGGTCCCACCGAATTCACATAGACCATGTCTTTCGCTACTTTTAGATAGGTCTTGTCTGCATTGAGCAGTGTTTGTAGAAGTTTTTGAAAACTACAATGGTATCCATCTATATGAGGTCATTGGAAATGCATTTACATTGTTGTACTCACCCTTCGCAGTTGGCCAAAGTTTCAGGTGTTTCGAGAAACAGCGGCACTATAAGTTCTATACAACGAATGACAGCTGCGTGTCGATGATCTGTTAGCAGCTGCTGCAGTAAATCAAATCCCTTCTGGCATATCAAGGGTATGGAATGTCCGTGAAGGCTAACCAGCACAGCCACAAATAATGCCAATGGGCGCTTTTCGTTGACGGCCTGGAAGATCCAGTCGATACGATCGAGTTCCGGGACGTAGAGCAGAGGTTCTGTCGGGTTTTGAAGTGTTCGCTTTACTGACTCAACGCTCTGGTCCGTCAGATGCAACCGCAATATGGAAATCATACTCCAGCACCAATCGGTAAACTGTTCTCTAGTGGACTGCGTAAAATCCAATAGCGACGAGACTTGACGCACACTCTCTGATATGCCCGACTGGCCAAGCACTTCAGGAGCGTGCTTCATCTGAGCTTCGCTTATAAGGCAGGCCATACGCACATGTATGTTATGGGGCAGAAAGAGGCGCCCATCGTCATCGAATCCCCAGTTGAGGTGGCTGATGACTAGACGTGCCAGCATATTCTCAGGCGACGTATACGAGAAATGGAGCAGCCAGTTAGAAAGCACTTCAAAGTCTTCCATGCCAGGCTTCCAGTTTTCCAGTGGCAGCGATCTGAACAAGTAAGGCGCCTTCTCGATGTCCATGAATCGAATTTTCAGCTGCAGCAGCAGGCAGGCCATAAGATCTTCATAGGCCAACGTTATATTGACTAACATATCGCGCGCAGTCTTATAGCAAACATCGCGCGTTGAAGTGTTGATAAAGCCAATCTATGGAAGGAAGGTCCAAATGAGTCAAAGTCAATAAAGGGCATTATAGTGCCAAGCTCACATTGAATATGTGCAGGCAAATACACTTAATGAGCTCCCAGTCCTTGGATATATCCCTCTTATTGGCCATTTCGAAGAAAGCTTGCAGTAGATAGTACATATCTTCGGGCGCCACATCGGCATTGGCCACATTAAATTTTGTCCAAAACTCATCCGCGTGAAAGGCCTCTGCAGGATCCACCACCAATTCTGTGGTCAGGTCATTTGGAAAGCCCACATTCAGATAATAGAATAAATGCCAAATAGCTTCAGTGTCCAGGACGCTATAAGGCAGCGTGGAGAAGTATTGCCAGGTCGCCAAATTGCGAGTACGATAGATATAGCTGCAGGCACGTATGAGTAGAGCATTCAATTCGACATCAATACGTTCGCATAAATCAGGCGACTTTCCCACGCTGTTGTGCCTGAAAAAAGTACAAACGTTCGCAAAAGATCGAATTATTATATAACCAGACTAAAGGACTTGTTATTAATATTTTATATTTGTGCTTTTGAATATAATAAATAGTCGAACTATCCTAATTGATGTATTATTTGGTATAGTGAGCTGATTTGTGGAAGCATTTTTAACGTTTTAAATTAAATGAGACTTACATGAACAACTCGTGGTAGTCGAAAACGTACTGCAGCGTATGCCGAACCAGGCGACCCAGACGTTTAGCCAACTGCTTATAGCGTTCGTTATTGTAGGTTAACAGGCCATCGCCTAATATCTGGTTTATTTGTGCAAAGAACGCAACAACTGTGAGCAATCGCTGTCCCGTTATCTTGTCTGGTTCGATAATAAAATCGTCGAGAAATTTCTCAATGCCCATGGCTGACCTGGAAAGCTAACGCATTATAAACTTGACCGTCTGCGAGAAAATATACATATCTTACGTGAAGATTTTCTCAAAGGGTATTTGATTGAGCAACGCAATTAGATCGCTTTCCTTTAGACCCACGCATTCGCCTGTCGGTGTGTGTGTATCTTCGCCATCAGAATCGACCAGTATCCAGCGCTCCTCGGCTCCTGTTCTTTCTTGATGTACCTGCGAGCAACTTTTCAGAAACTCATTTCTCTTCTTAATGGGCAATAAAAGAATTTGCAACACAGCTATACAGTGACTTAGCTCTGGCGCAGTAGGTGCTAGTGGCAGTTCGTTGGACTGCGTTGCCGTTGAAGATGCTGCTCCCATGCCTGGCAGCTGAAGAAATTCGGACGACCAAGCGCCCACGCCACTAGGACAACGCAGAATGTTGAAGAGCAGAAACCAGTGATCCTCCTTAGTGGCCAACAACAGCTGCAGTGAGACCAGCTTGCGCAGCCAAAGCTTGATGTCCGCATCGAATTGCTGTATGCAACCAGATAACATATGTATAAAGAATGTGCTTACAAGTGTAGTTTTTATACCCTGTACCCAAAGGGTGAAAGGCTATACTAGTTTTGTGCGAATGTATGTAACACACAGAAGGAGGCGTGGCAGACCCCACAAAGTATATATATTCTTGATCAAGGTGACAAGCCGAGTCAATATAGCCATGTCCGTCCGTCCGTCTGTATGAGCGCAAGGATCTCAGATGGTACAAGAGCTAGAATAACCAAACTTGCTATTCAGATTCCCATAAGCCCTTGGCAGGTCAAGTTTATTTTTTTATTCTGATGCACCCTCCACTCCCGCAATTCGTGTTTTTTTCCACGACTCCCGTAGTTCTTGGAATTTCGAACTAAAATTAGGTAGCTACATCCCGTTAGTGATTATGTGTCTGTATGCCATCATTATAGGTCAATTCTGAAGAAAGTTATAGCCATAAATAAAATCGCTGCCCATGCTCTGCTTGCAGCACTGCCGGCAGCGCTGCCCGCAGCTGTTGCTGCTTTGGTTCAACTTTGTGCTGCATACATACACGCATATAAACACGCAGAGACACGATTCTGATGTAAATGTATGCTGTTGAAACTGTACATGAACATGTCTTTAATTTAATTAAATAATTTAATTTGTATACTTTTTTTTTAATTATTTAAAAACTTTTTTTTTTCATTTTTTCCTTTTTGGTGGGAGGTAGGAGTTGAGATTGCTCGACTTTAGCATTCTTTTCTTGTTTCTAGTTGTAAGCTTACCGAATTAGGGCTCGGCTTTCGAGTGAAACCAAAAACTATAGATATTGCGCGACGCAATTGAGATACGCACTTCAGCGTCTCGTCATCCAGTTGAGCGTGCAATGTAATGTCAGCGTGGGCGTCGACATGGGGAAAGGCCAAAATATCGTTTATCAGTTGATCGATTTTAACTTTGGTGATTTTCGCTGATATAAGATTTGTGGTGTACGTGTGACAAACTAAATCGTAAAGCTTGGTCAACGCAGCCGTTGCTTCCTCAAGCTTTATATTGTCCACCTTTATGCGACTGTGAGAGTCAAGGAAATAAATATATGCAGAATATATTCACACCTTTAACTGAGATTCAAGCTACAGTGACTTGACCATAATCTTGCTTTAAAATCTTGGGTCTACTTACTCGTAAGTTATGCTTTCCCGTACCACGTTACCATCGCCGCAAGTGGCGCTAAAAGTGCGCGTGACTGGCTCCCGTGTCCACATTACCTGCTGTGTATCGAGACATTCCTTGCGGTATTTTTGTACGTCATGCATATTAGATGTAAGTTTGGTCTGTAGGTTGTAGTATTCCAGCAAAGCTGCGTAGAGGGGATCCGTTTCACTCGACTCGAGCAGTGTGTTCATGAGGAACTCTAATTCGAATTGTTTTACCAGTTCGAGGTCTGCACAATCGTAATACTGCTTGAGTTCCTCGGTCGTCAAAGGTTTTAGTTGGCTGTGTGCAATAGCAAAGCTTGACGAATGGTGCTGGCGTTGCTGCCGATGAAAAATCTCCGCTTTTTGCTCCTCTAAAATGGCATTGCTTTGCTTCATTTCCTGTATATCCGGGTACTGGACCAGTTTGCTAACAGTCAGAACTGGAGCGTTGCATTCGCAAGGCGCAGGCGGTGCTGTGGGTGTCGATTCATTTTCAGAAGATATATCAGCTTTTGCATCGCTTGGTGTGCAGTGCTCGTGACTTTTTGATTGTTCGGTATTGCTATTGACCAAGGCGGACGGACACTCTTCCAGCATCGCCACATTTTCAGTTTGTCTTTGTTCGGCCGCGTGGGCCAATGCGCTACTTGTTGATAACTCATCACAGTCTTCTTCTTGCTCTTCGTCATTACAAACTCGTTGCAAGGGCTTTGTCTTTTTCGTTCTCTACAACGCAAAATATGCATACAAAGTACAAACTTCATTTCAATGCGGCAAAAGAAAAAACTCCATATGCATACCTCTTTCTGTGGTTTAACCAATGTAGCCATATTTACGACTACCTCAAAACTTCATTTATCTCCAGTTGCAACTAGGCTTGGCCTCTGTGCCGCTGGCGCCACAAAACCCCCGTAAAAATAGTTGTATTGTGTGTTGTTTGGTAGAGGCGATAAGCCGTCGATAGTTTTGTCCAAGAACAGCTGTTACGCAAATTCATGGTGAATGGTAAGCACTTTCTTGTGCGGAAAAGTGCTACCAAATTTAATATTTGTTCCGATGGATAGCACTTTCTTCTTCCTTAATCTTGTAATACTTAACTGTAAAGATAGACGGAAAGACCACTTTTATTTCGGTTTAACTGGTTGTTCACAGGTGGTCGCTAGGTCGTACGCAGCTTTTTCCAAAGGGGCCAAAAAATTAAAATTATGTTTAAATAATGCACGATGTGTTCAAATAATACTTTATGCATATAATCAACAGAAAAACTTTAAAAAATCCAATCCAGTTCCATTGTAATGCGAAATAGTGCGCCATAATAATGGTCGACTTCAGATACTGAAAAACTTTTTCTTGCTATCCTGCGACGCCATTGGCTGGTCGATTTCAAAATTGCATTATGCAATAATTTTTGTTGGTCACACTGCAAGGTTTGCTGGCGGCTGATCAACAAAATAAAAACAAGTAAGTTCGGTAGTCCATTTTTGAAGTTTGTTCGATCGCTTAGGCCCCTTAGTTCGTTCTTTCACCGGATGCTTTGAAATTTCCCATTCGCTTTTCAAAATGAAAGTTTGCGTTTGAAGTGCTAACATTTTCTCTTAAAAAAAGAGTTTTTTAAATGAATTATTTGGCCAGAAGGTAAAAAAGTTATCTTGCACGGCAGCAATATTGCCAAACCCTATACTGGCTTTGGCTTAAGGTATACTATCTTGGGGTAACAATCAACATCAATAGTCTAAAACCAATTATACTTATATTTATCAATTTCACCATTTATATTCAAATTTGTATTTACTGTTTTAAGGGTAATGTATATAGATGTGTATGTATTCTACCGAAAATTGCTTAATGATCTATAGCTCCGTAACAAGAATAACTTCGATAACACACTCATTTGTACGTACTATACGCACAATTGTTTGAATATTGCTCAACAATACAATAATCACAGCATCTTTATTGATATCATACACAGAAGGTTCATTTCAAACTTAACATACAAATAACTGAACTTTAAGTAGCGTATATTGTAAGTATGTACAGTTATTCACCTAACTATGACTTAATTAAAAAACTATGGACTACATCTTCAGCTAGGGCTAATAATGCAAATGTAATTAGGGCTCACGACTTCGAGGGCAGCGTGCGGTATACGCCCGTTTCGCCGGCGGGAACAGTATCCATTTGAAGTTTATTGTCTCCAAATATCGACCTGGTGCTTTCTTTCTCTGAGGCATTGTTGGTGAACACCACTTTCATGGGACTGTTCTTCCCTGGCTTTTTCACCTGCACGATAGCCTCGTCGTGAGATTCAAAAGCTGGGTTGATTTTCTCAATCTTCGTGATTGAAGATGATGAATTGCTGCTGTTGCGTCCATTCAACCCGGATTCTTCCTCATGCTTGATGTAGTAGGGCTTGGGTCCACGGCCGCCAATGCGCTCGTAGCACTTAAAGACAAGTGGGTGCAGCAGCTTACCATCGTACATGTCGTCAGGATGCTGTGTCAAACAACTAATGAGCGTGCCAATAATGACAGTCAGCGCCGTGCCAATCAAGCTGTAGTACATAAAGCTAATCGAATAGAAGCTCTCGAGCGGCGTGCTATATTGATGAGGAGAAAGACTCTAAATGTAATTAAGCTAATTATGGCCAACATTATACAATGTTTTACCGTTCGTTTACTACACTAGACGGTAGCTCCAAAAGGGTCTGATTGTGTCCAGCGAGGGGCGTGTGCGTCAACAACCATGGCACCTGGTCTGCCTCGCCGTTCGGTTTGGTAATCGTTTGCGAGAAGCTGTGATTGGAGCACCCCTGTAATTGTACGAGATTATTAAAACCTTGCCGCTACAACTGCTAAAGAGTCTTACCTCCGTTGAAGTAGGCAGCATTTGTGAGGTTTTGTTTATCGTCATACTGCCACTGATTATCCAGAGAACAAAGGCGCAGGCCGATACCATACCGGCTGAGGTGCCTTTCCAATTGGCTATGGGTACCAGCATGGCCAGCAAAAAGCAACCCAACAATGGGCCTGAGGTAGCTGAGAACACGAGCAGAGAAGACTCGATTACGCCAGAGAGGAGGCCAACTCCGAAAGCGACGCACATAATAATAATACCGAAAACGACGGTGACTACCTTAATGATGCGAAGTTGCCGTTTATCGCTTAGTCCCCTGAACTTTGGTAGCTGCGAAAGGAAGTCTTCCCAGCAGACCGTTGCCAATGAGTTAAGGTTCGAGACCATCATGCTATTAATAATAAATTATGCTTACGTGAGGAAAAATAAAACTCATCTATGCTTACCACAAGGCGCTATTAAATAGTGTGGCCATAAATATTCCCACAAAGCCGGGTAAGAAACCCAGCTGATCCTCCACAAAGAAAGGCAAGATTTCATCTGGTTTCTTTATGTACCCCTCGGCTAAGGGGTCACATTTGGAGTAGGCAGCGAAAATTACCATACCGGATATCCAAGAGAGAGCAAAGAATACGAATACAACGGGCACATTGGTGATCATTACGCTATGAAAATGGAGATTGGTGTATAACGGAGTTATACGGATATAACGTTGACTGGCACTTACCGACGCACTTCCTTCAACGACTTGAGGCTAACATAGCGTTGCATAAAGTTCTGTTGGCATCCAATTTGCGAGAGCGACATAAACAACTGCCCAAGCCAGGCGGAGGTTGTGTCCACACGTACAGTCATATCGCCGGTAAAGTTCCAGAAGTTAAGACGGCCTATAAGCAAGATTGAAATTATCGAACAGCTTTAAAAATGCACTTAAAATTGAAAAATGACGCTTAATTGATGACTGTGAACGATTAGGGGCCACTCGTGTTTCCCAAACTAAGTATATCGCACCTTTTCATTCATTTACTAATTAGGAACTACAAGATCGAAATGTTCATCCTTAAAAAGTGTTCACTGTCTCTTCTTATAGTATATAACGAAATAGGAAAAACTGGTGAGCGAGCTGCAAATTATGAACAAATAAGTAAAGAATTTACACTTGTTACATATTTGTTAAATATGTACATATACATAGTATATACTTGTATATAATTTTTTTTATCTCTCTGCTTAATTATAAACATGAAGATATTACACTTCTAAATTTGTAGCACTCTTCTCTGGATCGCATCTATGAGAGCACTGTGCGACGGCTATGTGGGCGGATTCTCGCATTTTGTAACTATATATGACAATGACAGCTTACAACTCAAACGCGACTGACAAACGCTTTCCCGCTAGACATTTATTACTGTCGTCATGCGAGGCGCATTTTGTGCCAATTTTCCCATTGCTTGCTGATGATGTTGTTGTTGTTTTGCTGCTGCTGCTGCTGTTGCTGTTGCTTTACGCTGTTTTTATCATCATCATTTATGCGCATAATGAGCCGACGCACGACGATGGCAACAACAGCAGCAGCTATGCGAGTGGATAACATTTTAATAGTCATCATTCGTCAGCATAAATGAGGCATATACAAAAGGCACACACAACCAACCAAATCCATCCGAGCACACACACAGGAACACCCAGGAACAAGCACGCACAAACACGCACTCCATGTAACAGCTGAGCTTATGAGAAATGTGGGAAAACGCTGCCAACGCTGATCAATGACCAGAAGTGACCCCAATGTAGTTGCACTCTCTGATTGATTTGTCCTTTCTGTGACTTACCATTGTCCCGATTCAAATCGATGACTCTCTTTGGCCCACCACTCGAGATGGTTCCCTGAATGCAAACGGCAACCGTGACCACCAAAATTGTGAGCGTTTGTATGACATCAGCATTAATGGCCGCTTTCAGTCCGCCCTGTGTGGGAAGGAGGCATAAATTAACTAAACGGGTTCGCTTTGGTGCACTAGCTGCCTACTTACCAGTATAGTGAAGAATATGCATATGGCGGACATGCCCACAATAGAGGCCCAGTAGGGAATGCCAATTACAGTCGAGAGCGCCACACTGGGTGTGTAAGTCGTAATACCCAACGAGCAGATCTGGCGCACGATGTATGTAGCCGAGGCGAGGCAGCGCACGGTGCGGCTCTTAAATCTGAAAGAGATGAGTGGAGGTGCACGGATTATTGTCAGACGAAATGTTTCGACTTCATTTTTGGTGATATTTTGGCATTAATTAAGGGCGGACTGCGACGAACTCAAGCGCATTTCATTTATTTCATTAAAGTTTTAATGGGGCATCCACCTTTTCCTACTTTATGATTTATTGAAGCTATAAAAAATGGTGAACCCGACAGGTTTAAGCAGAGGCTCATATAAACAAAAACAAGAGAGCAAGCAAGAGTCAAGAAAGTCCGACAGTAGAATACCCTGCACCCAAAAATAAGAAAACAAAAGCATTGTTGTTTCAGCGTGAAATAATTTAGCAGCAACTCTTTTTATGATGAATCGATTTAGAATTTACATAGATGGGTCGATTTGTGTATTCACTCTCATCAGAATAGGTATACTATAGTTTTTGAGAACGTAGAAGCTTCATTGTCCCTGCAACATGCATTAGCAGACTCCCAACATAAGGGTATGTTTCACTTATACCGTTTACTGGCTATAAAAGGGCGTGTGGGTATGTTCGGCCATAAAAAATGTCGTGAACAATACGTATAGCGGCCAAGTCTGCAGCTCAAGTTGCGACCATTCCGAAAAATACTGTGCAGAGAAAGGGCTTCAAATAGCAACAGGAGCGACCACAACATAACAGAGTTTAAGGTTCGTTTTGATTGTTTTTATAGTTATGTGTGCTCTGTTTCGCGGGTGGGTCCTTGGCAGGGCTCTAAAAATTAGTGTGTTAATTTGATGTAAAACGAGCGACATGTGTCTTTTATTTCGGGCAACCTAATGATCGTATAACCGAGGTATGCCTGTGGGCATACAAAATCATTAAATAAATAGCTCAGACTCGACACAAGCCTTAAAGGATACTGCCAGATTTGAACTAAGAAAGTAACAAGTTACGGAAGGAAATTTTGAAGTGAGCTTCAAAACTATGATGTCAGTGTTTTTAATGTGTGCAGTAAATGCCGAAAAGTTGTAATGAAACAGCACAGCTTAAGAAACCTTATCATATAGTAAATGGTATACAAAATATGACTATACAGCTAAAACGACTGCATTTGTGTGTATTCCGCTGCAGTTTGCTTTGGCTCTTTTAAAATTATATGCAGGAAGCCAGCTAGCTACGTTTTAATTAGCATGATGTAACAAACTCCTGCAAGACCACTCAATGCCTTATGTCTCACATCCTGGATCTCATCGGTGTTCATTGATGAGACACCAAATGATTAATTTCACAGAACAAATAATTATGCTGTGTGTCTTGTGTTGTCGTGAAGCTTGTGCAGGGCAGGCTTGGGCAGGTGTTTCTCGCAACGCAGCTGAAATGAATGCATAAAATGTCGAGCTTCTGTTACTTCAGATGTCCGCTCTTTCTTTTCACAGGCGACGCCAGTGCGATGCAGCCCCTAAGAGGCGCCATTGGCCACCATGTGGTGTCGCGATAAAAAAGTGTTGCATAAATGCAGGCGCCGTCTGTTATTTATAATGAAAAATCACGCATTCGTCATCGGGTTGTGTAAATCAATAAGTAAATACCAATCGTGGCTTGCTTATTTGCATTTCGCATTGTGTGCATGTTTCTCTTCCTTTTCGTTTTGGCTCTCGCCTCATCCGGAGCCACATCAAACGCTTGGATCCTTTGCGTTTGTCAGTTCAATATTGGAACATGCCCAACATAATGAGGTTGCAAATACTGACGCTTAAGCGGCTCACACGTTCCACATCCCGCATCCCTCACCGCTCTCCCTCCTTTTGTGCAACGCCTTTTGGGTCCCGTTATGTGAGACACACCGCATCGCATGTGTTATATTTTAATTATGGCCGTATAAGCGCTGTTAAGTGTGGTCGCGCGTAAACCTAACCTACCTGCGGCCATAAAAGGCAGCAAATATGCATGCATGCCATAAAATACCACGGCGTAAGTCGCGGCGCAGTAGCTTTATTATATAGCCTATCAAAAGTCGAATAGTGTGGGGTAATAAAGCGCACAAACTCACAGGTAATGAGCATTAGGGGCGAGGAGGACTCGACGACAATGACAATGACGTGCGGGCGTGCCCGCTCACACAGTCTTGTAAAGCTGTACAGTGTTTCTCACAAGAATAGGAACACTAGATGATCGGCGACTTACACTTGTTTAGATATGGCACACTCACCCCTCTTGTTTCGACGGGCCTTCAGGAAATTGGTAAAGAAATGTTTGTGTAATTGTAGCACACCCCTGCATGGACAGGACATGAGGCTATGTGAGAGTGCCCGAGCCAACATATTGTTGACATTTTGCTTGCTTTTGGTCAATTGTGGCCCGATATGTCAATTTAATATGATTTATGGTCGTTATTGTTTTTGCCTTTGTCTTATTCTGCTGTATTCTATTTTGTTTGGGTGTTTATGTTAAGACGCCTATATTGTGGAGCCTCTTAGCATCATGTTCATCAAAATAACTGCTGACTGTGTGTGTGTATGTGTGCGTTTTTATGTGTGAGTAATGGCCTCGGGCTGGCGCGTATGTCAATTGATTGAGCACAGGCTGGCTTAGACGATGCTTTTGTTTTAGTTTAATTGATTTGTCAGTTGTTTTTTTTCCTGTTAGCTCCTCCCAATTCATTTGCCCTTAAAATTGAGCTGCCTTCTCTATTAAGTAAGGCCAGAACGTAGCTAGCTACAATTCGCTCGCTCTTATTGCCTTTTATGTTCAGTGCTTTATGCAATGCACAGTATGTATGCAATAGTTATTGGTCGCAATAATGCTCGCACTTATCGAATTCAGCCATCTCTCCCCTTCACATCCGTTTTAAATGCAGGCGACTTAAGAATGCGTCTAATGAATCTGAGTCGTCGTGCTGCCTGAAATGCGTTTTCAAACGATCGAAAATAGGACTTGATTTGTGGTGTTCCCAATTGGTTAGTGGGAAATAGTCATTGTGCATAGTTTCTATAAACCTCTTGTTTCTTGCAAAGAAATTATATTACTCCATATTTCCATAGTTCCCTTAATGTGTTTAATAGTAATATACATAAAAAACGTACTACAAGTATAATTAAAATTTCCACCACAAAAAAATGGTAGAATAAAGTCGGGGAATTAAAAAAGGGGTGAAGTATTTAATAAAAATATTATTGCAAATTTTTAATTTGTGCTAACAAAATAAGAGTAAGTACAGTATCAGCTTATCAATTATTCAGTGTAATAAAAAATAGGGAAAACATTGAGGTATTTTAATTTTTTTGAGCTGTGTGTAAAATGCATTCTAAAAAGGAGACAAAAATTCAATTCTAAATTTATTGCCGTCGGTATTGTTCAACAAAAATGCTAATAATATCGCTAGTCAACAACAGGCAAATGAAACAAGTAAAAAAGCTAAAGTCGGGTGTTCCGACTTTGAAATACTCTGTACATATGTGTACAATAATTATAGAAAACAAAAAAAAAATTAAGAAAATTAAAAAAAAAAATATGATCGATTTTCGGTATTCGAACTCACGTAAAAGGTGTATAATTGCACATTTACATAGCAATTGCGTCTGTGTAAGTGTATGTATGCCTAAGCGCATCTATCCGTGTCTGTGTAAACATGTTAGCAGTCAACCAAACAGCAACATCAACAACAGCCGCGGGCAGCACTTGAGCAGCGCTGCAGCTGCAAATATGTTTATGGCTATAACTTCTTGTTAAATCGGTCTATCATAGTGAATCTTGGCATACGGACACATAATAACTAACTGGGGGTATTTGCAAAAGGAGTTAGAGAAAATCGCAATTTGCGGGGGAGAGGGGGGAGGGAGGGAAATTCCAAAATATACATTTTCTGCGTATTCACATAAGGCAAGGGACTAAAATTTGGTGTTTCTAGGTCTTATAGTCTCCGAGTTTTTTCCCCCGATTTTATATTCGTATAAACCCCCATAGGGGGGAAGTGGGGCGGAAAATCAAAAAAATAAAACAAACTCGTATGGAATACACACATAAGGCATCTTTGTGCAAAATTTGGTGTCTCTATCTCTTATAGTCTCTGAGATCCAGGTGTTCATACGAACGGACAGACAGACTGGGCTAGATCGACTCGTCTCGTCATGCTGATCAAGAATATATACACTTTGTGGGGTCTGCCACGCCTCCTTCTGCCTGTTACATTTTTCAGCTCCCGCAAACCTAATATACATCTGTACAATTCATGTACAGAGTATAAAAAATGTTGGCCTATTGCTGAACAATGTAGTTTTTGAAAATAAAAGATAAATGATGGCTTTCACAACGAAGCGTTTAATAATGCATTAGTTAGTAGTTGAAGTTTCATTTTCATTTGTATCCTTTATTTGTTAAATTTGTATTACGCCTGTCAAAAACTATTACTTGTTTCAGTATAACATGGGGGGTCTTTGGTTTTGTTTTAATTTATTTGATTATTTTTGTTCATTAGACGCTCAAGTCAAGTGGAGGAACTCAAATAATATTTTCTTAGGGAGGAGAAGTATACTTTATATTCAAAGGTTCAACAGACGCTGAAGGTGCGCTTTTGATTGCATTAAATGCCGAGCATAAATAAACATAATCAAACCGTCACTTCTATCTCTCTTTCTCTTTATCACACATGGATCACGCCGAAACAGTGCCCTTGTGGCACGACGACGCTTTTCCGTTCTGAACAAGTTGCTGGACGTGGATTGGGGGGGTTGGGGCGATGTGATGCTGGCTGCGCTGTCGTTTGCCATTTGCCGTATGCCAAAAACGTGTTACTCTTAACAACTTTGTTGTCTTTGAATTGCAAATCACGCTGCCACTCAGTTGCTGTCACTGCCCCTTTCCTTCTGCCCCGCGGCCCATTTGTCCTTCGGCATTTGTTTGCCTTTCCAACACATGAAAACGTCTTTATTTATGCGTGCATGGCCCCACCTTTTTATTTGCTCACACCCAACCCGCTCGCCTTTTCGCAATTTCAAATGGCTTTTGTACACTCGTAAATATTGTAACGAAATTCAAATGCAACGAAGTTACAAGTAAGCGCACTTTTCGCTAAAATACAGAGTCCTTAACTGACATACTCCCCCTTCGTTCGACCGTTAAGTGCATATATCTGTCGGATTTTGCCACTTGTTCTTTTTCTAATTGTTTTGACCTCAATTTTTTGGCGAGAGAAAGATTTGACAGTCTGAACATTCGGATTGTTATTTTAATATTTATTGTCATTTTCCTTTTTCTAAAAGCTATTACAAAACTGATTCAACAAGCACTTCTTAGATGTTCGTTTCATATATACTTTTCATATATACTACGTATGTATACAATACAAGATAGGGTCATGCTTGTAAATAAATAGCCTTCAACGATTTGCTATATTTGTTTCCTTGAACTACGTTCATTATCGAACAACTTTGTTGATTCCTAGGGCGACTATTTTAGCCATTAATATAACATTTATTAATTAAAAAAGCTCTCATAGATTCCAAGCCAAAACACACAGCACTGCTTATATAAGCTATAAGAGGCTTCAATCGAAATGTAGAAAATTGTTGTATGTAAATATACATATTTACATACAGATTTTCAAATCGATCGGATAAAAATGACCCTTCATGCTTATATCCCCTTCCCGTGGGATCTGCACTTTCGAAAGCTCCGTTTCTGATGTCAACCTTAAAAAATGTCCGCTCCCCAGCTTTCAACTTAAATTTAAAAAACGCGTACATAGATAACAAAGTATAAGCTTCAAGAACAATTTAAGGTAAATGGAATTGAAATTAAACAAATCTAAAACATCACCATTAATGCATGTTAATAGCTCCAATTGGTCCACCATTGTTTTCCTTATGTTCTGCAATTGGTCTGAATTCGCCTTTCGCCTGTCGCCTTACCAAAACTTTATTTGTGAATAAGAAGTTCCTAAAATAATAAAGAAAGGCCAGGCTTGGCACATTCTGACATGAAACAGTATTTTGTTTTTCATCGAACGCGCCAAAGTTCGCGACCCAGCGACCCAGCGACTTGACCATTGAACTGACGTAGTCCTTGAATTAATACAGAAAATTGCGTTATTTGGGAAGAGGCGGGCTCGGTGCGGAATAGGAAATCAAAAAGTAAGTAGAAAATTTGTGCGAGCCGCACACATAAAGCAGATAACATTTGAACCAAAGTAAGAGCTTAGCGTACATTGACTGAGTGTGTGAATCTTTGTGTCTTTGCTTCCTCGCCTCTTCCTGCGAGTGGGGCGTTGAGTGGCAGACTTCACTTGTGATGGGCCATAGACGAGCGAGCAAACTGAGTCTGGAGGGTGCACGGAACCCTTATTGTGTACACTGGGAAAAATGAGAGTAGACCAATTCTCTTTTGAACAGTAATTGTAAAAAACAAATGCTCGATTCCGTTTCTTCTTTCTTCTCGACACGAAAATTGTCTAAATTTGTACACTGCTTCTTTGTTTCATTTTAGCAAAGATTAGTTTTGTGCTTTTTACAAAATTAAAATTAAAATGAATGGGGTTTCGACTGTTTAGTCGGGGAACAGATTACAATTTTGGAGACCCACTCAAAATCCATAAAACCTTTGCCTTTTGATTCGTTCTCAGATGTTTTGGGTGGGTGGGTAGTTAAGTTATTTCCGAACTCGTAGCTCTTTCGCCGAGTGTTTGTATGGTTGGTTTTTGTTTTGCAACTTTTCGATGTTGTGCAAGGGGGCTACAGACTGTCACCGCCGCTTGATGGTTAATGGTTGACAGCAACAACACACGCTATTTATAAACATTATGACACAAACGAATTGTCATACAATTTGTCAACAGCCAACGTGCGTGAGTATACGTCAGTGTATGTGTGCGCATTTGTAAGTGTATGTGTGTGTGTGTGTGTGTGTGTGTGTATGTGTTTGTGAGCCTTTGTTTTTTATGAATTTTGATGTTGGTTTTTGTTTTGTCCTCGTGTCGTATTTAAGCCATACCCAATACGCCATACCCCAATATATATATCGTTGTCTCCGGCTGAAATCGCGCCATCTTGTTGCACACATCCCCTATTGGCCCGTCCTTTCGGCTGATGCCAATTTTGATGAAGTTGTATGCATAAACATGTTTTGTCGCGTCAGATGCGCTGACAAGCGACAATGAAGCTTAAAACTTGTTACATTTTTGTTGCCGCTTCAACGACATTCTGCTCCTCAGTTGTTGGCGTCCCCCCTACTGGCTCCCCTTTCAGAATCCGACTGACATGTGATCTGTGTCATTTTGATGTCATGAAACTAAATCGCATATAAAATTGCCTTGTTGTTGCATATGTTTACGGCCTTTTCCTAATCGCAGCAAAGTCTTGGCCAAAGCCAGTGACAAAGATTGATGACCATCGGCCGTCCTGCTGCTATACGCGAGTGTCATGTGGGAATGGTGTGGAGGAGAGACTCAATTAGTTAAAGTGCTGTTTGGCGGTAGTTTGGTTTAGGTTGCAATTACGCCTAAATGCAAGTACAGCTCTCTCTGTCTCTCTCTCTTTAGTTAAGTACTTGACATTTTTGGGACAAACTTAAAATGTCGTCTAAATGCGAGCACTATATTTTATTTTAAACTAGAATTTCCACCGGTTCATAGCAACCAAGGCATGTAAAATTTAAATAATTTCTCAATTCAGCACAGCTTTGTGTACTTCACCATTTCAACAGGGCCACTTGGCAATTAAATTCAAATCAAATTATTCTGAGACACATGGAGAGCCACGCCCATCGTATATCACCCATTTCCCATTGCCCGTTGCCTATCGCCGCAAGCCGCGTGCCCAGCATTTGTCAGTTTTTGAAAATAATTGAATTTTGTTGTTGAAACTGCAAACATTTGATAACAAATTTGTTAACTAATTTCGAACTTAAAAAACAATTAGGCCCCAGTGCGACAAGGCGACAAGTCGAGCTGCCGAAACGAAGCGAGCGAAGCCTACACCAGAGCTCTATAGATTATTTGCTTTACTTTTGTTTTGCGTCACGCTCTTTTTTTGTAAAATTTAATTCAAATTTATTTAGCAACTTGGCAGTCCGAGCAGTCGAGGCAGTCCGGACCGTCAGAGCAGTCGCGGCGGCGAAGGCAGTGAGGGCAAAAAGATGGCCGACTGAGACAGACTGGGAAGCCAAGGCACCCGTGCGTTGGACGACGCCTCGTGGCTCTGTTTTGTCTCATTTGGCTTCCTTAATGAAGAATAAAATTGTGTACACGCTGGCAAATGGTGCGCGCGCGATAAGAACCGAAGGATTCAGGGGTGGGGTAGACACTAAGGCGCATTTGCGAAATTAAAATAAATGTTTAAATAAAAATTGTTATGTTGTCATTGCAGTACTTGCTGCTGTCGCTAATTGAATGTTGCCGTCAGCAGTGTATAATTTCGCACTCACCTCAGATCGATGTACTGATAGACCGAAGTAATGCCCAGACTGAAGTAGACGGGAACAAAGACAAAACAGACTATGGGGTAGGCGCTCATCATGCCGTAAATTATCTCCCACATGGACGAGCCTCGATAATAGAGCTCACTGGGATAGCCTATAAATAGTGGTATTCCAGAGATAGCTCATTAAAAATGTATCCTTTATTTCGCTTACCCAGGACAGATCGTACGCCTAACGTGCCACGAGCTATTGATATCATGACAGCCACTATTGAGACGCCTCCTGTGGCAAAGACATAATCCGCTTTGCTGCGCTGCTTGCGCTCCCCAAAGATTCGATTCCAGAGCGGACCCAAGACGGTGAGCGCTATAAACAGCGTAAACATAAGATAGTCCCAACCGAGAGTGCTCAAGTCCTTTGCCATGTTGTTGCGGTAGCTGCTGCTGCAAAGACAAAACCAAAATGCAAAAATCAAATAGTGAGTGGGTAAAGACTTTTAAAGTTGTCGGTCCTTTGCAACTTTTGCTCAGGGTAGTTGAATATGAGAATGTTAGTCACGCCTGTGCATATAATGCCGCCACAACACTGTTGCACATCCTCGGGCGCTAGGAGTGGGCAACACTCACACATACACACACACAGACACACACACACACACACACTCTCGACTTTACAGCAAATGACTAAAAACAAAGCAAATTGTTGGCACTCTTGTTTGTTGCTACGAAATTTATGGACTGTGTCCTTTGCTCGCTGGCATTTGTATGCATGTCTTCACTTGCGAGTGTGTGCTCATGTACGTGTGTATGTTTGTGTGGTGGGTGCGTTCTAAGCTATATCAGCACTGAGCACCACAGAGCGTGTGGCTTACGGATGATGAGCATAACTTTTTTTGTAGGCAACTGTTGAGCCTTTACCGCTTATTATTTTCATGTCACCGCCCTTGACGCTACCTTTTTCATGCTCCACACGGAGATTTAAAGTCTAGTGGGTGATGCTACTAGTTATGCTGCTTCACAATGAATTCTACGTATATTCGGTCAAGGCACAGCTAATATCACATACCTACATATACACATATTGGTTAATCCACTAATTCTGTTTTGGACGAAGAGGTCAAACAACGAATTAAATTATTAAGTAATAAAAGGATTATCGATTTGCTAACTTTATGTGTTGACGCAAGTAGCTAGTTCCAGACACGCATTAAACACTTGTTTTAAAATTCAGATCCGCAAGGCATTGCGAAAGGCTATTGCTTTACCGATTGTCTTTCCCTTGAGCTGATTGTGCATGTTCACTTTCAAGAAAAGGAAAAACCAGTATTACAAAAATAAAGTATTCTATGCTAACGATGAACTTGTAAAACTTGGCTTCACCTAAACCTTCTCTGGTTTCCTGAAGCAATCAATAGTACTATTTTATTTCATTGTAGCACGATGCAGTGCTTATGAATGGGTATGGATAGCTTTTGTGATGCCACTATATTGTAATTATCATTATTCTGATAGCTGTGCTAACTAATTGACATCTTTTGGGATGTGCTGTTAGCTTTATTTGGGTCTTTGGCCTCGCTTAAGCTTTTATCTGACATTTTGTCTGGCTTGGCTCTTACTCGTATTTTATGTTTTGTTTAACAAACTATTAGTCATGTTTTTTTGGCCGGGCACACTAAAAACTGCACATCCGCCTGCTGCTGCTGTGTCACTCAACTGACAACGGCACCAACTGGCAGCAGTAAGCCAGACATTTAGCTATCCTGCTAGACGCTCACCAGTTGTTGGTCATGTGATAAGGCAAAAACTCTTAGCCGAAGGTCGTTCTTTTGTGCGTGTGAACTTGTGCGCAAAATGTTATTTTCTGCTTGCTGAGCTTAAGCAAATTACCCGTGTTACCTGCCAATGTCGTTGGAGCAGGAGGTTGTGTTGGAGGTTGGGGAGAGGAGACAAAACGAAGCGGGAGTAGCTGTGCTTGTTTTAGTCCGCTGCCAAATATTATTTGGGCATTGTCTCAGTTGCCATTGTTCCCAGTCCATTTTTGGCGGGTTGCTTGGGCAACCCCTTTCGTTTGTATGTGTGAGTGGAGAGCCCCCAACATTTTGACGATTTACACACACTTTCACGGGGCATGCAAAATCTTGCTAGAGCTAAGTCGCAGTCAGTAATACTCGTACGTATGCATAAGTAAGGGGCAGACATCGAGGGAAAAAGCGGCGGTGCTGCCAAAGTCTGGGGCAAAATGTCAAGCGCAAAGTTTACGCCACTCGAAAGTTTCACATGGTACGAGTACCAGTATGTAATAAAAATAATGCGCCAAAGTATGCTGAGTGGAGGCCCGGAGGTAGAGCGGGCAGACAAAGGCGCTTCAGTTTCAGCATCGCTTTAGCTTTAAAATGCCACTTGCAGTTAATATTCATGCACTTGGCACAGCTTGAAAAATTATACGGAATACGGAGCACAGAGCTTGGTGACATGTGTAGTGGGTGTACGAGCGGCAGTGGGAAGTCGTCGATGTCAAGGAGTCATAAATTATAAAACAGGTTGTGGCAAGAACAACAACAACAGCAAGAAGCAAGGAAACTTGTGGCGCATTGTGTGCAAGTGACAGAGAGCAAGTTATGACAAAAAAAAAGAAACGCGACATCACGCGTGAGGCGCTTAGACTAGACTATCAAATACGCTTTTTGAAATTAAATATTTTCCCAGCTTTGATGCAGATTTTCTAGAATTCATTTGTCTGGGAAACACCTGCAAGTCTTTGTTCTCTATTGCAACATCAATAAATTGATTGAGATGCCTTTTTTGGGAACCACTGTGATTCTTTTTGCTTGTCGCACTCACGCCGAGGAAATGAATGTACCTCTTTTATGGGCAGAGAGTATCTTTGCTTTGAACGCTTGAAATTGCACTGAGAAAATTTATGATGATCATAAAATATTCAGCATGCTTTATTGGAGTACTTCTCTCTGTTGAAGTTGTTCATGAAAACCAAGAATCAGCTTAGCTTATGAGGCCATCCAGTGGCTGCAGAGTTCGGCCGCAGGTGGCTGCAGAGTGATGCCTCAGCTCCGCTTCATTTCTTAACACTCAAGTGGTGATGATGTGCACATAGCCCGATATGCGAATATTGTATCAAAATCGCATTTTCGACGCCGCAACTTAATATTCGTGCCCCCACTTCCACTTCCTTCCTCTCTTACTGCCTGTTGGTGCACTTTTTGTTTTTGTCCATTTCCCGCGCACTGACAAATTGAAAATGTAATTTAGCGAAAGTGCACATTGCGTTGCATACTTTTGAGCGCGCCGCTTGGCCAGTCGCCAAACCGTGAGGAGCGCCAGTTTTTGCGCCCTTTAAGTGCTGCTGCCATGGCATAAAAGGTAAAATAGATCTGTAATGCATGTCTAAAAAGACTGCGAGTGCTTTTTAGTATTGCCCACTCGGAAGAACATATAGAACACGTACATTCGAGTTGAATGTTGTATGTAAAATGCATGAGCTAGCATTTTGGCATGTTGACCAGCCCTTGGAGGTGTGGCAGACCGTCGGCATTGGCGCATCGAATATGGCAAATATCTTGATAAAATTTTATGACTTTGCCGCAGCGCTGCCTTGGCCAACGATGTAATTATGGTAATTGTCTTGTTAGCTGTTTCGAATTACCATTTTATGAGCGAAGGTATGTACTGGTGGGCGTTAAATGAACCAGAACGTTCAATATTTGTAAGTTGGCGTAGGTGCAGACTTTATTTAGCTAGTTGGTTAAGCATAGCAGTGTAAGCATAGTACATATTTATTCAAATTTTACTTACATTTGATCACTTTTTCGTTCAGAATAAGTAATAATCGCTAACTCAAATACATTTATGACTTTTCTCAGTGATATTCGGCTATAGGAGAGAAGTCGTGTTCATAAATTAAAAGAGTGAATGAAGTCTTTTATTGGGTTACAAATACAGAAATTACTTTGTTCTATTTTAGTCAGTCACTGCTGTACTTGGCTATTTTTCATTTATTTCATTACAATGCTTAAAACTTTTGCCGCTAGTTACTTTTCAAGTGCTTTGCTAATTAAGTCGCGCTACGTTGCAAATTGCATGCCAATCTGACAGTAACTCAGTCAGTCGTCAGCCATCTAGTCAGTCATTCAGTCATCCATTCAGTCAGCCTGCGGTTGTGGCCAATCAAAAACGCATGGAAATGTGCAAAGTTTTGCGCATTGTTTTTGTTTGCTGAGCAAATGAATCGCTCAGCAGCAAAGTTAAGAATTGTGTAAAGGGCGAATCCGACTTGTATCTTGGCCTCTGGGCAATTTCCTCTTAGCTAAGCGAACCCAAGCACTGCTGTGCCCTTCGCATTCAATTCGTAAGGGACATGTCCTGGTCGATTGCCGGCTGTCGCCTTCAAGTGCAAGTGAACTTGCATTGACGCTGTATCGAACACGACCCCGATCCGACCACATCTACGACCGCAGACATGGCCACGCCCACGCCCACAAGTCAAATGTGTGCGAAAGTGCAGTTAAGTCAAGTGCTTGCAGTTACTTTTGTTTCTCGGTTTTTCATTTCGTTTTCTTTTACTGCTCGCCGCTTAAGAAAACTTATTGTACGTTCCCTCAAACGCGTCGTGCTTCTTGCTGCCTCTCCTGCTAAAAGTTGCTAAATACAAAAGTTTGCCACTTAATACGAGTTCGAGTAATGGAATACGAGAAAACCCTTGCAACCCTTGTTGCAAATTAAAGTCGAAGTGTGTCGGTGCAACTCAGAGAACTTTACAGCTTTTTAGCAACATGTAACTGTTTCGATCCGTTACAGCTATTGTTTGTTTAGACCAACCAGCCTTTTAACAAATGTTGAGATACTCGTATAAGAAGAATATTTATTTATTTATATTTATTTTTATGCTTTTTTTGCAGTCCATCGCTAAGTCCAAAGGTAAATTAAAAAGGGATTAAGTTTATTGTCGTCATTGTTTATTGTTTTCAAATGAGAAAACTGGTTGGGTGTGTTCTTTTTCGTTTCTTCTGAAACTTGTTCTTGCTTTTCACTTTTCAATTTACCACAGCCTTTCCGATTATACTGTCCTTCAAAGTCATTTATCAGCAGTCGAACTTTTGGTTAAAATATTAAGTTGACCAGCAGCTTAAGTTGTCGCTTATTTATCGCCCTTGTCGTTGTGGTAGCAACCGCAAAACGATGATAGTTTTAAAATAGAATGCTGGAATAACGTCAATTTCTCAACGGGTTAAAGTTTCAACTGCACTCATTTATAACGGGTGCACCACCAGCCACCACCCATCAGCCACCGAACAGTGCAGCTGAATCTTTATATCTGAGCTGTGAGGAAAGATGTGGGAGTGACAAATGAATTTTGTTGCAAGTTCTGCCTGCCGACAGTTTGGTCGCTTTGTCATGCTTTGACCGCGCT